AAGTTGTGTGTATGTCAAAAAACACAATGAAGTAGTTAGTTGCACAACAAAGATGCACAAATATGCCAATCTCCTCTCTCTCTCTCTCTCTATCTAAAATAGCATTTCAATAGGCAATCCATTTCGGCAAAAGAGAAAAAAAAATCATTTAGGTAATTGAATAAAACTACTTTACAAATGGAAAATAAACTAAACTAAACTATGAATAGTATTATGATTATTTGTGTGTGTGTGTGTGTGTGTGCAGTGCAGTGCAGTGCAGTGCGGTGCATTGCGTTGCGTTACGTTGTGTTGTGTGTAATTTATTCGTCTTTTCGTTGAATGAAAGAAAGCAGTAAATTCTGTTCGTTACAGAAAGTTGACCTGGTTCTTGTTATCGATCGATGTTAGTTGGACATAGTATGGGACTTTTTTCAGTGTAAATCCACAAGCATACGGCGCTTGGGGTTGGTGAAATTCATAATTCTAGAGGTTGAACTAGTGTATTCAACGGTTTTGTGTAATTAAGAATGTAATGTAATTCAATTATCATGTAACTGTGTATGTTTTAGTTAAGAATTTCTGAAAAAGTTTTATTGTTTAAATACAACTTTCAAGAGTGGACCTTTTAACAGGAGGATCGCTTATTGACCTAGAATATGCCGATGACATAGTTCTACTTGGTGAAGAAGTTGACAAAATTCAGTGTCTCCTGACTATACTAAGCAATAATGCAAGCATATTTTCAGGATGCGGTTTTCCACTCGAAATGCAAAATTTTGCTTCAAGGTTGGGTATAATTTGTACTTGAACTAGTGATAGGGAGTGAAGTAGTTGATCGTGTAGACCGCTTCATTTATCTCAGGAGTCTCATCAGTGCTGATGATGAATTATTAAAACTACATCAGTTGAAGTGGTTGGGATATCTGTTACGAATGCCCAACCACCGACTACCTCGTGGTGTAGGAGTAGGTTTGAAGAAAGCTGGGGCGGCCAAACCAAAACATGGCACAAATCCATGAAGTCACTGACAACTGGACTGAGCCATGTTAGCAAGTATAAACTAACTGGTTGGGGTTTGGTGAGACGATAGTAACCGATGGTCAGAGACCATGAATGACATGGCTCAGAATCGTTTGCAATGACGAAGGTGCATTCATCCATTCATTGTATCCTCCCAAACCCTAACCTTTTGAATTACTCATCGCTGGTAACTAACCATAAGAAAATTAATAATGCCAGAGTTCAAACCTAAGATTTGTCTAGTGGAAACTTGAATCATTCATCTGTTTCATTTAAAATCATGAATCGATGATTGTTAGACCATCATTAGAAACCTGGAAGCACTGCACGACTGTTTTTTCCTAATATGAGAGTCTTCAGTGTTAATGTGTATCCATAACAGGTTAAGCATTCCTGAGCAAGACAGAAGGTTCTCGGTTCGATTCCCTTGTGCGATGAGCATGGCTGCGAAGTGCTGATGAGTCTCATACTAGGAAGCAACGGCCATCCAGCGCTTCGAGGTTTCTGATGGTGATATAACAATGATCAATTCTTTATGGCTCCATAATGAAAATTCATCTGTTACAATCATCTAAGGAATAGTATGTTGTTCCCTGTGTCTGACGAATATCATTTTCATGTTTAGTCATATTGTTGTGTTTGTTGGCTGATGTGTCCTGTAAACCGAAACAATTTTATATTAAATTTCACTGATAACTTTTATTTCATTGTTGAAATGGAATGCGAAAATTTGCATTTCACATTTGGTATCACAAATCAATAAGGTGAAACGAGTCAAATATTTGTCTCGTCAAAGAATGTGATACATATCGTTTGATCTCTTTTTGAGAGACATTGGGATGGAGAACAAAATATCCGAACAAATAAGTCTCCTGAAAAAATTGACATTCTAAAAATAGAAAACCGGAGGGAAGAGATTTACGTCAGCACCACCAAATCCGTAAACAAAATCAATGTTTATTAAAATACAGGAAAATGAAATTCAATCATTGTATACTTGATTGTGAATTACATTCTATTTATCAGGTCTGTTGATACTAATCGGGCTGTTGAAAATAGAATCCAGTGAATGAGGTTTGAATCAAGTGACTTTGTAATTGACAATTGAACGCCTTGAATCAATGAACCAACTCCACCGATTGGATTAGGAAAATGAACAAGTCAAATGTTTGTTTAGTTACACAATTTAGGCTAGGTAGTCGAATCTGGAGTAAGAAGTAGTGTTGTGACTAACTAACAACTATCAATTTTACATATTTTTCATATTACTTACTTACTTACTTACATACACCTGTTACCCCCAATGGAGCATAGACCGCCCACCAGTTTTCTCCAACCAATTCTGTCCTCGGCTTCCATTTCTAGTTATTTCCAGTTTTTGTTCATTCTTCTCATGTCTTTCTTTATTTCTCGGAGTAATTTGTTCCTTGGCCTTGCTCTTTTCCTTTGACCTTGAGGGTTCCATGTGAGGGCATTTTTCATATTAGGGATATTGATTTCGGCTATATTTCAGTTTTCTTCAATTCATTCTATGGTGGTGGCCAATTTCAACGTGTTCTTAAGCTTCGTAATTCCCTCGTCTAGGCAATCATCACCAAATACCGCCTGACGGTTATAAATCAGAAGGTAAATACGAAGTGTTGAATTCGTTTACAAAATGGAACAGCAGACCATAAGCAGACAGGGAAGGAACATTAGCGACCGAATTGGTTAATGAATGGATGAAGTGAAGCGGAGAAGACTAGTGAGACACCTCCAAGAGATAAAGCATGACTAATAATTTATAGTCAGACAAAATAACACAGACGTGTAACAAGCGAGATAGACATGCAAACTTATAAATAAAAGCGAGGAATGATTGACAAGGTCAAAAGACAAGTGGAACAAGTCATGTGAACTAGACATTGAATGACTCACTGCACTATCTTTGATAAATAATGATGAACTGTTCTTAAATCACTATGATAATATTTATTAACTATTATTATTATTATCGCAATCATCCAGAGATTTATTCAAGAAATATCCTGGCATCAAACGAATTACTGGCTGTTGGGGACGTTAGATCCCCAGAACTCGCTTGATAAATGTCTTAATTTTGGATTTAATTAGTGGACTGATCATGTGACCTTGAGATCACATTTTCCACCAGGAAAATCCTTGGATGTGATTGGTTACTGTGTTATTTTAGTGTGCTATTTTTGTGACTCTCCGAAGGACGTTTCTATGATGTATAACTAAACCAGATTTATGTGCTTGGATTCATTGTGTTTGCTGGCAGTTTGTAGGATATACTTTCTACCCTATATCAAGACTTCTTCGTTAGTTCTTTGAGGCAATCAATCAGAGTAGCATAATGTGTCACTGGTTCATTGTCTCATTCTCGTTTATCGACTAAGGTGAACTCGTAATAGTTTCAAGCGTATCAAGTGACGAGCGTAACACTGACATTAGATGATGGAACATTATTACCAAATGCTGACGGTAGTTTTATACACTGGTGATCGATCATCGGGTGGATTTTTTTAATTTTGAGCATACTTGTTAGTAAGTTTTATTGAGCAGTTTCATGCTAGAACAAGACAATGATACAAATCTTTTCTGAGTTTCTAATAATAACCGGAAGTAATTATTTATCGGTGACTCAATCCAGTGACCTATCAGTCAGTCAGGAAACGCTGACCAATTTGAAGGTGGACAACAGCTAAATGCCATAAAACATAATGGGATAAAAGTTTTGATCTGTTTTATAATCAACTCTCAAATTTTGAAGGGAGAAAAGTCGAGCTAATGTTATAAGTTAGATTTATCACCCTACAGAGTTATCGTCGCCAACTAAAACTAGCTATGATGCTAAAAGGTCATAGGTGAGGTATAAAAAATGAAGCTGGAATACTGAATTTAGTCTTTTACAGCGGAGTTAGGGTTTTCATCCCAAATTGACAACAACAGATATAATATAGTACTTTGTTATTCTAATGTTTACGAGCTTAAAAAAACTTGATGGTGAGATTTAGAATAAGAGAATATTATCAAGTTTCAGAAAACATTCATGACAACCCAGTGAAATGCAAAAAATACTTCTAACCTCGGAATTCGTTTTGAGAGCTGTTATATTTTGCAATTTAGCTTATTCATTCATTCAGTCAGTCAACTACAACGTAGAATTTCGTAAGTATGTACATCAGTTCAGGTTACCATACCACATAACTACAGAGATGCAATTGTCAGTTTGAATCCTATAGAAGTAGAACTGGTAGAATTATTAAGGGTAATGCAGAAGATTAGGGTTGTAAAATATTATTCAAGAAGTATAATCTAGTAAAATAAACTTAAAATGGGAAAGATAGAGGTCCTCAGGAACTCAGAAGATTAGGATTTGAGAAAGCATAAAGAGTGCGACCGTAGCTGCTACTTTGACGGGGTAGTCGGGCTTGCCTATCGTGACAACCCAACCAAACTATATTCGTTGGAACATATGTTCCTGTAGGTCCTACCATGCCAGACAGGTCAACTGGAGAACGTTGAGACTAAAAGCAGCAACTCCAGGTCTGAGGGCGAAGTCGTGCTGCTGTCTGTAGAGGGGTGTGACAACAGTAAGGCGTTCCCGTCGGACAATAAGAATCTGCAGCGATCTAGCATTCTCAATAGAAAGGAAGGGGTTAGAAAATGTCGACACTAAAAATGTCACACCTCAGCTGATCCAATTTCCGGTGATAAGGTCACTTGAAGAGCGCAGATGAAACTTCACCCTCTTAAACTCACTTTCTAGTTTATTAATAGGAATTTCTATTGATTCCAAGCATTTTTTTAAAATGTCTGTATATTTTTACAAGTGATTGATTGATGTACTTTAGATTTCGCGCTTAGCGTATGAGTCGTTTCCTTAATTCTGATTGGCTCACTCAGAACACTGGTCAACAGATCAATACATTTACTAATAATTCTGTTTTAATGATGATCCTTTTACATTGATTGATTCTTATTATTATTTACAGATGGAGAATATTCAAAGATTTCTTGATTTATCTGAAGCTTATGGTGTACCACGTGAATGCTTATTTCAAACGGTTGATTTATACGAAGCAAGAAATATGGCACAAGTATTGGCTACTCTGTTGCAATTAGGAACTGAAGTAGGAATTTAATTTCTAATCGCTTTTTTTCTATTCAGTATTTTTTTTAAATTATTGATTGACTTTATTTAAAATCTTTCGCTGATTGGTGCGTAAAATGAGACTATTGAGTTATTTTTACTGTCTTGATAACAACAGTAATGACTATAGAGTCAATACGAAACTCCGTCAGGATTTGATACAACTTATCAGATGGTGGGGTCATATAACCAAAGGTCACAAAATGTTCTAATATTGAACTGTTGATTGTTTAACATTCACCTTTTGAAACTCATGCAGGGTAGCGGCTGAAGATACATTTGGAAAGTGCTCACTTCGTGCGATGTATGTGACTTGTTCCATTGAAAAAAGTGAACTTAGAAAGATATATTGATGTAGCTTATTGCATGAGTTTATCCTTGATGCATTCAGGAATGACTGAGAGGCTGTAAAAGACATTATGAAGCTTGGCGTAAAAAATATATATCATGTGTACGTGCGTGCGTGTGTGTTTTATTATTATTTTATCAGTTTAGGGCTGTGGAGATAGTTGAGTTTTATTGAAATCACCAATCGATCAATGTTAGACCATCAATGAAAACACTGAAGAACTGAACAGCCATTTCTTCCTGGTATGCGACTTACTGGAAGAACTTCATAGATAGAGATCAAACCGAAGACTTTCGGTCTCACTCATGAATGCCTAAACTGTTAACCAGTGAACCGGCACCTAACAGTGTTAAAGTGTAACTTTGATCAATCCACAACCTTATCTATCGTCTTCGATGGGTAACTGTTTCATACCCGACACGGTGGAACACCACTCTAGTCACGACTTCTCACTAGAACTCTGGGAATTTCTCACGAAGCTAGTAACTAATGAGCACATGATTATTTCTAGTATAGGGTTTTGCATATTACTGAGTTTCATCAAAATCATGATTATGGATACGCACTGCCGATAAGTTTCCCACTGGGACGAAACAGCTGTCCAATGTTCTCATGTGTCTTTCAAATGTTAGTGTCACAATGATCAACTCATGATTTTAATGAAACTCAACAATCTTCACAACCTTATTATGTAAATCAATAGCACTGAAATCTATTTCACAAAAACGAATTTATTCAAATGTGTAATTCATGACAATATTTTTCAATCAGCTATTTCTCTTAATTGAAAATAAATTCTTGAAAAATATCATTTTCTTTATGTTAGATCGATTGTAGCATTTTTTCATTATAATTTTGTCGCCATTGTCTTGTGACCTGTTGACTGAAATCATACAGAAAAACACTAATTAGAATTCTACTTCTTATTAGTTGGTTATTTACCCTAGAATTTAGTGTCGTCTTTGACTTGGTCAACAACATACCTCCGACTGGCACTATCAACCTCGATAAGATCCTCTGGATTCAAATGATTTATTATTGGCCTCTTTCGATATTCAGTAAGCAGTGCGGTTGTTAGGAAAAGGGTATAAGTTAAGGGTGGCAAATCAACAAATGAAGTAGTGAAAAGTTCATCAGTTGAGGTGATCGAGACATGTGGTATGAATGTCCAAAAACCGATTGCCTCAAAGAGAGATGTAGGGGTGTACGATACACACTAACACCGGAAAACTGACTATATGACGAGAAGGTAAGAGCAGAAGAAGTCTACATTTCTACCGAATGATATAGATAAATACTTATATATATATATATATATATATATATATATATATATACATTCTATCCCCTTAGAAAACGAATCCATTTCTTGACCAATGATATGCATTTGTCCTTTTGGACATTTCTGATTGTCACTAAATGTCCTCATTTGGCCACTTCTTATTGATTTACTTTATCATAATCAATTAAAAAGGACTTTGGATCATGTGGCTCAAAATCGTTTGCAAAGTCTCAGGTGCATCCACTCTATGTGTTTCTAATCTTCTGAATTCTTCATTTCCTCTATCTTTCTCTTCTGAACTTTAGCTGACCGGATCATACTTGTCGAATCACATCTTCAGACCCTCATCTCTCTGATTACTGCTAATACTTCTACTACTATGGAATTTGAATTGACAATTCCATCTCTCTGTGCTAATGTGGTCTCGCGACTTGACCGGATGTACATACGTACAAAGTTCTACAGTGTAGTCGACTAACTGACTGACTCTTTCAATATTCAGATATTTTTCAATTGGTACTAACTTTATTCACACAGTTTACACAGTATACAAATGCAATAGTCTTAGTAGTATCAGGCAATTCGTTCAAACTTCCGAGTTACTATTTCTTCAAATGTGAATTTACTGTTATTAGTTTTCGTGATACTGGCTTGTTTTGATGTACTAATTACCTATGATAACTGTGTGTACCTTACTTACCTACACTTGTTACCCCTAACGGAGCATAGGCCGCTTTGACTAATATTCTCCAACCAACTAGGTCCTCGGGCCTCCCTTTCCAGTTCTAGGCAATTACTGTTCACTCTTTTGATGTCCGCATCCAATTCTAGGTGTAATATGTTCTTTGGCCAACCTATTTTCCTTTAACATTGAAGTTCTCAAGCTAGGGCTTCGCTCATGATTCAGTTGGGTTATTTCCGCAATGTGTATCCCCTATTCACCTCCGGAACTTTTCCCTAATTTATTCCACAGATTTAATAAAATGCTAAAAATCTGTTGTGAATATAAGTAAGGGAAAGTGGTTGGGACGTTAGATCCCCAGAACTCACTTAATAAAGGTCCTAATTCTGGATTTTATGTTTTAGCGAATGGGCTGATCAGTTAACCTTGAGATCACATTTCCCACCAGGAAAATCCTTGACTTTGATTGGTTGATGTATTATTTGTAAATCAATATAAATGATAAATAATCACTGTTTATATAGATATTTTTATTCACAAAAACAAGTATTCTCAAGTTAAATGAGATCTGTAAAACTGTGACTTTTGTGCAGAATTTCGCATATTTTTTCCTTTGAGAAACAAACATTTTGGTATTGAATGAAGTGAGTATAATTATTACTATTATTTATTTCGTATTTATGATGAATAGTGTCAACGTAATGGATTTCAAGGTCCAGTATGTGGACCAAAACCAACTTATTCACAACCACGTCAATGGACAGAAGAAAAATTACGTGCTGGTGAAGGTATCATTGGACTACAAGCTGGAACAAATAAATTAGCTTCACAAAAAGGAATGTCATTTGGTGCACAACGTCATATAGCCGATATACGATGTGATGATATGACACCAGAAGGTAATTATTATTTAATGAATTACTGTATGGTTAAGGCAAATGAAGTTATGCATGATTGGTCATTATTGATTAAGGGGAGGCAGCTAAACCAAAACATGGAACACATCCATGAAATCATGTTGATAGATGTAGACTATCTGGTTGAGGTGCGTGAAATGATAGTAATCGATAGTGAGAGATCTTGAATGATATCATGGCTCAAAACTGTTTGCAATGGGGCAGGTGCATCCTTTCTTCTTTGTCTTCTCTGAAATCCTAAACTTCTAAATACCTCATTACCTCTATCTTTCTCTTTGTAAATTTATTTTACTAAATTATACTTCTTGAATCTTATCTTCGAACCCTAATCTTTCCGATTACTACTCATACTTCTACTACCTCAACTACCATGAGATGTGAAATGACAACTTTACTAAGTGTGAAAGGCTTGTAATTGAATTGAGGAAAGTATTGTTTTTGGTCGTATTTAGTTGTGAATCGTATATCTAGTGTAATATGATCCCATTAAGTGTGTGCATAGCGTTCCGATCTTGGGCACAAGTAAATGGAAATATTTTTATACTACCGTTATACTATATTCAATCCAAGCTTTGGAAGATCTAAACACCTTTACATATCTGGGCAGCATCATTGATGAACAAGGTGGATCTAGTGCAAATATGAAGGCGCAGTTTGGCAAAACACGGGCGACATTTCTACAACTGAAAAACATGTGAAACTCAAAACAACTACAAAACAACACAAAACTCACAATTTTCAATTCAAATGTCAAGATAGTTCTTATTGTATACGGTCGAAACTAGGTGAACCGCCAAAGCCATCATCCAGAAGATACAAGTATTTATCAACAGTTGTCTGAAATAAAATACGTCGGATTCGCTTTTCAGACATCATCAGCAACTACTTACTATGGGAAAGAACAAACTAGATTCCAGTGGAGGAAGAAATCGGAAAGAATCACTGGAAAAGGATAGGACACACATTACGGAAGGCACTCAACTATGTCACATGAAAAATTCCTTTGGAAAAGGAAAAGAGGAAGATCAAAGAACATATTACGTCGATAAATGGAGACATACGTAAGAAGAACGAACAAGAATACGACAGAACTGGAAAAGCAGCGCCCAGGACAGAGTTGGCCGGAGAAAACTGGTCTGGAGTAACAGGCGTAAGTGAGTATATCATAATCAAGCGTAACTGCGTTACAACCTTGGATTCTTCAGACTATTTACACACTAGACAATAAATCAATAGAGTGGAATGAATGGCCACTAGGTCAGTAGATCACGATCATGTGACACAGTCTAGTTGTTTAACCAACAATCAAGAATGAAATATATAAAACATAACATGATTGCATCAGTGCATAATAAAAACAATTCATTAGAATGCATGCAAATATAATTCACTATACTCATAAATTTAGTGTCTTATACTGTACTATACTATTATTACAACTCTACTTATAACCGGATATGTTCAACGATTTTCATTGTTTTATATGTGTGTTGGCTGCTCTACCACTATCTGCGCACTTAAACAGGAATATGGTTTTATTTTTATACGAAATCACTCCTCCAGTCGTTGACCGAGTTATCTAATTCAAGACACATAGGAATAATGTCAGACAGAGGCAGTTTCATGATAGCCGTTGACCTTCAATCATCCCTTCTAAATTTCAGACCCCATATACCATATGAGGGTTTTCAAACTTCTCCTAGATGAACTATCTGTATCTATTAATCCAGTTTAAACTCCGAACGCTAACTTTTAGTGCTCTTGCTTTTTAATAAAACGAAAACGCTGTCATCCTGAAGGTTGTCCCTAGTACAGACTACAAATGCATCATAATATGAGAATATTTTACCGAGGGAAAGCAAGCTCTTCCTACCTTACGTGGTAACTAAGACCCTCGGAATCTTGTTTTTCCGAAATTCTTCGACTGATAAAAGCTAAACTCAAATTTATCTAATTTTTATATTCTCCACTGACTTTAGTTAGAAAAACTGTTAAATGCCAAGAAACACTGACGTGGAAAATCCCTCAGTAGTTTGCATCCATAATCTCTTTTTAATGGATGGAATACAGAACCTTTCAAACACACAGAGAAGAACGTGAAGTTCATATTGTCTTCATTCAAATTTATCGACTTACACTGGTTTGATTAGCGTTTTTTTGGCTAGTTAGTTTATAGTTAGGGTGGGGGCGCCAACCCAATGTCCCACCCCTCTTCCTTTATCCGGGCTTTGGACCGGCAGTAGCCCTGAAGGTTCTACTGGCCGAGTTGACTGACACTTGTAATATCAATTTTATTCGTAAAGATATTTGCTCTTTCTGTCATTTTCATTTCTAGGTGCTGCTGTCATTAGTCTACAAATGGGTACAAATAAATTCGCTTCACAAAAAGGTATGAGTTTTAGTAATCAACGTCATATTGCTGATATAAAATGTGATGATTTATCACAAGAAGGCAAATCTGTCATCAATTTACAAATGGGCACCAATCAATTCGCTTCACAAAAAGTAAATTTGAGTTAAATTTAAATTAATGATTATTATTATTATTATTTGAAAATTGAACATTGAATGTATTTTAAAAAGTGAATTTATTTATCTACGTACTTATTACATCTATTACCTCTGATGAAGTACAATGTTGTTTGTCATCTACGATTCTTCAATCGATTCAGTCCTCCGCTCTGCTTTCCAGTTGTTCCTCAGTGTTATTGATTCGTTTCAAAGGTTTGCCTTCGATTTCCGATGCACTGAGTTGGTTAATTTTTATCTCTTTGCCTCACATTTTGCACATTCCAAGTTACAGCTTGAGTTTGATAAATTCGGTAAAGTGTTTGCTGTTCAACTTCAGCGTCTTTTCATCTGTAAACTGATTTATTCTATGGCACTGTAGATTGTTGTTGATATTTTTGTTAAAGTATGGACTATAAGTACATTAAAATGATAAATGAATCATTGTTAGACCACCATAAGAAACCTGGAAGCACTGGACTGTAGTTTGGTCCTAGTATGGGACTCATCATCAGTGAGCATTTACAACTCCTGCTACTCGCAGGACTTGAACCCTTAGTTCTTCGGTCCTAATCTCGAACGCTTAATATCTGGACCATGTTAATGTCTAACTCTGATCAATCTATGAATTTTACGCAACCAGGTTTTTCTTAATTGTCTAACAACATTGATTCATTCATCATTTCAATCGAAAACATTAGTTTTCTATTGATCTTAGTCAACAATTGAGTTAGTTAAAAATATCTGACTAATTAATTCACTTCTTTATTCATACTTTTAGACTATTTTAACGTTAACTAATTTTTAACCCTTGAGGTGGTGTGAATATGCATATATATATGTTGATCTATGGTTCTCTCATTTATTTATGATAAATTTAATCTTTGATTAAGAGCACTAGCTATGTAAACAGTCTTAATGGTGAATAGCACACTGATTAGTGTTTCGTTTACAACATTTCTTTTTGGGTCAGCTATCAAATTAGCATATCTAAGACATTTGAATTTGAGTCGACCTTGAACTACTACTTTTCAACCAATCAGAAAACAGTATTTTATTTACACTTAACATTTCTGATGTTTTGAATTGAGGGATCGGTTCACTTATTTGTGTGAATTAAAAGTATTCTTTCTTAAAAGTTGATTGTTATACAACAAGACGATCAGACATATTTTAATGTTTATGATATACAGTATCTAAGATTTGAGTGCTATGAGTTAAGTCACAAAACTAGCTACTTGAAAGAGAATGCAAGATCGGAAGAAGAGTAAGTCTATTTGGCTAGCGAATCATAAGTGCAAATCTTCGTATACTTGTATATGCATATCTTCTATCTCTTTAGAAAAGGAAGCTATTTTGTTGACCACTGAATACGTATACGTCATTTTCTGATGGCCATCAAATAGGGTTTGTATTTGCCAACTTGTAATTGGCTTACTAAATTTTGTTATTTTTGTTAGGGTTAAGATTGAGTTTAATTATTCTGTAGGTGTTATTTGCTTACGCCTGATACCCTCAAAGGAGCATAGGCTACCGACCAGCATTTTTCAACCTACTCTGTTCAAGGCTTTCATTTCTAATTTTTGTCCAATTTTTGTTCATTCTTCTTACGTTTGTCTCCATTTCTCGGTGTAATGTGACCCTTGGCTTTCCTCTTTTCTTTTGGTCTTGCGGATTCCAAGTAAAGGCTTGTCTTGTTATGATGCAGTTAAGTGCTTTCCTCCAATGTGTGTCCAATCTACTTCTAGCGCTTCTTTCTAATTTCCTTCTCTATTGGAATCTGTTTCGTTCTCTCCCATAGTCAGTTGTTGCTGATGGTGTTTGGACAACGGATCTGTAGTCTGTGATATAAACAACTGTTAATCAACACTTGTATCTTCTGGATGATGGTTTTGGTAGTTTTCCAAGTTTCCTCTCCATACAGTAGAACTGTCTTAACATTTGTATTGAAAATTGTGACTTTACTGTTGGTTGAAAGTTGTTCGGAGTTCCAGATGTTCTTCAGTTTTAGAAATGTTGCTCTTGCTTTGCTGATTCGTGTCTTCACATCTGTATCGGACCCACTGTGCTCATCAATGATGCTGTCTAGATATGTAAAAGTGTTTATATCTTACAAAGCTTCCCTGTCAAGTGTGATTCAGTTCGCACATGCCGTATTATATAGGAGAATCTTGCTTTTACCTTTATCTATGTTGAGACCTGATGCTGCAAAGGCTGCCTCTACACGGATAGTCTTCTCTTGTATTTGTTGTTACGTGTGCGATAGAAGAGTTACATCATCTACGAAGTCCAGATCATCGGGCTGTGTCCTAGCTACCTCCACAGTATCGCATGCTTCCCCTCCCCCCAAAAAAGTAATTCGAAACCATCTATTCCACAATATATGATCACTACTATTAATCGATATTTTACTCTTTTATTTTTATGTATGTATATAATAGGGTATGCGTATTGGTAGTACTCGACATATCACTGATATTCGATGTGATGATATCTCGAAAGAAGGTCAAAATGTTATCAGTCTACAATATGGTACCAATAAATTAGCTAGTCAAAAAGGTATGCGTATGGGTGGTCAACGTCATATAGCTGATATACGTTGTGATAATTTATCCGCTGACGGTGCATCTGTAATTGGTTTACAAATGGGTTTACCACAAAATCAAGTTGCTTCACAAGCTGGTATGTCATTCGGTGCACATAGACATATCAATGATTCACATTAAAGTGCACAAAGCGAGCGAGAGAGAGAGAATGAATGAACTCTACTCTACTCTACTCTACCCTACTCTACTTACACTTCTTGATTTATGCGATTTCTTCTCTGAAATCCACCAATCACCAACCAACACATGCAACATACCCACCTACTACTGTTGTTCTAAAGAAAACTGCACATAATTATTTATTTTTACAAAGCTACTAAAAGAAAAACTATTAAATTTCTTCGTTCTGTTTCATTTATTCAAACAATCATCATTATCAGTTGTTTGTGTGTGTGTGGTTGATTGAACATTGAACAAAATTTCTCTACTTCCTGTTTCTTATTCAATTTTCAAGCATTCTTTTTGTTTGTTTATTTGTTTTTATCTACCTTACACTTTCTATCACGCGCACGATATTCACTTCACACACACATTGATTGAACAAACGAACAGCCTTCACAGGGATACATTCTTTGTTTAATTATTTATTTATCTGCCTATTTATTCACAGATTTCATGTTCAACATTCAATTATTATTATTATTATTACTTATCGAGAACAATAAAAAAATGGACACAGTTAATTAATATTATTAAACAAGATTATTTTGCTTAGCTTCTTTAGTATTTAAATTAATAATCAATAATTCAGAGGCAGTTGTTGTGTCATAAAGCTTAAAGAACACTGCACAAAGGCACGTATATTTATATATAAATATATTCGCGGGTTAATTGAATAATCTTGCAAAACTGAATGGTGATACATACATACATGATTGATGCGAACAACTTTTGTTGATCGGTATTTAATCATTTCAATATTATTATTATTATTATCATTATTGTTCTTTTAAAGCATGCACAATCAAAAAAAATAAATGCTTTTCAAAATGTGCAATATTGCGTCTTTTTTGTTGTTGTTTTTTTTCGCGAGATGTTATGTTATGTGTTATCGTGAAGTAGTTTCTGTTAGGTAAAATCATTCAACAGATAGGGAGTTGAAAATAGGATGGAAACTAGAATGATCATATGTTTTGTGGTTAGCATTTAACTATTTTGACTACTGAATAATTGGTGTCCTATAAGATTTGTTCATGTTTGTAACTTCAATCGGTTTGCAACATTACATCACTATCACTGTCTCTGTTAGTCATACGATTCATGTTTCGTAACGGCAATAAGTTGTTGATGTGAAACTATGAAATTGATCAGTCTCTACAGTTTCCTAGTTATGGGGTGACCAAACCAGAACATGGTACAAAGCCATGAAATCGCTTTCAACCATACTGTAGGCGTAGACTAACCGGTTAGGGTCCGCGAGATGGTAGTAATCGATGGTTAGAGACCATGAATAACATGGCTCAAAACCCTTAGCGATGGCGCAGGTGCATCCACTTGTTGTGTTCTTTGAAATTCTAATCTTCTGAATTCGTCATCACCCCTATCTTTCTCTTAAACTTATCTCACTGGATTATACTTCTAGAATAATATCCTCAAACCCTAATCTTTCCGATTACTGCTCATACTTCTACTACCTTTACCACTATGGGATTGGAATTGAAAATTCTATTTCTGTGTGTTAATGTGGTATGGCAACTTGAACTGATGTACGTACTACACTATGAAGTATGCATGAAGTTCTACGTTGTAGCCGACTGACAGTTTCCTACATGAATAAAAACGATTCAGTAGGTGAGATGCGAATGATTTACAAAATCTAATCAGGTGATCATCAACTTAGGATGCAATATGATTGTACATTCGTGCAAATTACCATACAGTAAGGGATGTGTTTTTTTTGGATCCAAATTCAGACAGTATCAAGAGTGATGTAAACTTTGAAAACTAAATCAATTTTAGTATGATCTTTTTCATTCATTCTAAATTATGTAATACCGTACTTGTGAAAAGATTATGCAACAATTTAGTCGTTAAATGATATGAAACTTAGTTACAAACTCGTATAAATATATTGTGCAAATGACAATCTATTTTCCGAGTAGAAACCTAGATGACGGTTTCGTAACTAGGGATCTAAGCTATGACTTTCAGTTTCATATGTTCAATCTGTTGTTGACTACTGAGCTAATATTCAACGATGTGAGTGTTTAGCTTTAATTAATCCATGAAACTGCAGTGTTAAACAACTCAACGTGATCACACTTTTTAAATAAAAACCAGACGCTGTAAAATGTTCACATTCAATGTATCAATGAACAAATTATGGTCGTAGTGTGGTGCGAGCTACTTATAAGTAGTATGTGACGTGAGTGTAAACGTAATGTCTGGCAGCAGAAGATGGGGGAAAATCAAGAAAGGAAGAGTTAGAAAACAATGGAATTTGTATGAAATGCATGAATAGTGACAATGGACTGATGTTTTGCAACAGGAACAGTCCAGTTCGATATGATGAACTGATATTTTGCAAACTAACGATTTACGATATGGTTTTCCGATTTTACTGAGTAACTCTTTAATTTTCGTTAAATACAATTCGGTTTCCCCACCTGTGTTTTCGTTCACTACAGTAGCTGATACCTTGACCTAGTGGTCCGACTAGCCTATCGTGCTCACCCAACCAAGCTATATTGGCCAGAACACATGTTCCTACCATGCCGGACTGGTCGATTGGAGAACAGCGAGACTAAAAGCAGCAACTCAAGGTCTGAGGGTGAAGCCGTACTTCTGTCTGTAGAGTGGTGTAACATCAATAAGGTGTATCCCTCGGATAACCAGCATCCACAGCGATACTGCCTACTCACATGGAATTAGGGTTGGGTCGACCCTAAAAATGTCAAATCTCACAGATTTTCATCTCCGGTGGTAAGGCCTTTAGAGAGCGGAGGTAACATCCCATAAAATCCTGGGCATGACCGGCCAGAAGCAGTTGTTCCTTAGGGTTTGGTGGTCACGCTTCCACGTCTCTAAGACAAACCGCTAACATGATTTCCTTTCCAGGTCCCTCAAGGAGCACCCCTCTTCCAGGGTATGGGCAGTCATACACATCAGACCAGCCGACACAATGTAAAAAATAAAACAAAGAAATAAGGCGAACTGAATTGAATTCATTTGTGACAAGTTTTATTTTCATTAAAAATTTTTATTTATTTATACAAAATTAGAAATTAATTAATTATTTCATTGTTTTGCACCATTATTCATTCATTCTCTACGCTCCACTATTCTTGATTAAATAACAAAAATTCACAGTATGACTGTTTTTTTTTTCAATTTGGTTCTTTTTTCAGACTTAACGCAGATGTGTAAATACGTGAATGTGTATTGTTTTTCTTTTAAATGTATGAAAATGCAATTGGGAAAATTTCTTTATAATGTTGCACAAAATGTACTTGTAAATTCTCTTTGATAAATGGCGCTAAATCATCAAAATCTTTACGATTGGTTTCTGGTAAAATAATCGTAGTGATACCACCACGTTTAGCCTATTTGTATGGGTTAGAATGAGAAAAAGAAAAGGGAGTTAAAGAGTTAAAAAAAACAATGGAAATTATAATTGAACACTTTGAAAAAAGAAAAGACCAACACAGAGTTAGTAGATTGGAGAGTACTGGTCGACGGCCAATGCTCCATTGGGTGGTAACAGATGGCAGATCAATGGATGAAGTAGCGAACGTCCATCAGTTGAGGTGGTGCCTAATGCAAAGATACGCTGGAAGAAGGCTAGTTACGGTCAAACTAAAAACATGGTACAAATTCATGAAGTCACTGATAACTGGATGGAGCCATATTGGTCGTAGGTGTAGACTACCAGGTTAATATTCGGGCGATATTCGTAAATGGTAGTTAGAGACTTTGAAATATGTTAGGATATTCATCAAATATCCAAAGAGAATTATTTTTTTTAGGTCTAATTCTGTTGTTTAATTCCTGCTGGTCAATATGATGGTCGTCCTAACTGTCAATGTCACATACTTCAATGTTGGTCCCTATTCGACTTAACTATATAAATAAGCATTATCTGTAACGTTTTATGACCCGGACCCGGATCCCCAATCCGGGATCCTAATTCTCTTCTGGACTCGGACCTCGTACTTTCTGAATGTTTGTAGAATACAGGTTCTCTTTCATATCAAGTAAATATGCAGTACTTGAACCGAGTTGCTGGATACAGATGATCCACCTCAAGAGGTTGGCTGGAAGACCTTCACCTCGAACTAATAGTGCACATGGGCTACAGGGTCTTGATGAAACAAACACCGTATAGGCCTACTACTGGTCATCGGCTGCCATGGGACTGCATCTCCTGACGTTGCTCTACTATCTTGTGTATTGGACCGATAGCTCAAAGGCTCAGGAAGTCACCTCCCTAATAATAATAATCATAAAACCACATTATTCGGTTTAGGCGTCTGGGCAGTATTCCGGACCAATAAACATTAAAAAAAAAATCGGATTAATTGAACAGCATCAAAAATGATTGAGATTTGTTGAAACGATTCAACTTTTCTTGTCTAAACCAATGTTTCTTTTTTTCTTTAGGAGGCCACTACTACTCCTAGACACCGTTGACCTTGATAACTGGTTATTAAACAGTAGTGAGATTTTTTTCAGTGTTCAATATTATCATATAAAAAGACTAATAATAAACTACAATAACTTACTGCAATAACTTTCTCTTTGATCCCTCCGACTGGTAGAACTTTACCAGTTAAACTAATTTCACCAGTCATAGCTAGATTAGGTCGAACTGGTTTACCGCATGCTAAACTTAACAATGCAGTTACCATAGTTACTCCAGCCGATGGACCATCCTAATAATGATGATAAGAGAAGGGGGAGGGAAATACATGGAATGATAACATATAACAAGGCAAACTTTCATGGTTATAAATTGTTATAATGTGCAATCGATTCGAGTTTGATACACGATGATACTACATGAGAGTTTATTGTACACAAGGCTGGATCAATCAGTATTGGGGATGTAAACTCTCCAGAACTCGCTTGATAGATGCTTTGATTTTGGATTTTATTTTACCGAGCATGAACTGATCAGTTGACCTAGAGATTACATTTCCCACCAGGCTGTGATTGATTGCTGTGTATTTTAATACGCTATTTTTGTGACTCTCTCAAGGACGTTTCTATGTTGTATAAATAAACGAGATTTATGTGCTTGAATTCATTAGGCTTGCTGGGTGTTTGTAGAATATACTTTCTACGCTATACCAAGACTTCTCTTTAGCCGTTTCGAGTCAACGGATCAAGGTAGCCTACCTGGACACTGGTTCATTGTCTCGTTCTCGTTTATCGACTAAGGTGAAACCGTAATAGTTTCGAGCATAACCTAGTGACGACCTTAACAGTCAGTCAGCTACAACGTAGAACTTTGTACGTACATACGTACATTAGTTTAAGTTGCCATATCACCGTAGCACAGTGATGAAATTGTCGATTCACATCCCATACTGGCAGAGGTAGTAGAAGTATGAGCAGTTTTTGGAAGGATTACGGTCCAAAGAAATTATTCAAGAAGTATAATCTAGTGAAATAGATTTGAGACGAGAAAGATGAAGGTTGTGAGGAGTTTATATTAGAATTCGGAAGAACACAAACAATGGATGCATGAGTAAGTTCAAGTTCATACACCTGATCGATTAACAACACAATCAGATGAATATAACAGAACGGAATGAAATAATGTAGTAACTTTCTTAGTTGAAGAAGATTCAATGTTTTATCAGCCAACTCACCATCGTACCCCAAGTATCAACCCTTTATTATCTAAAATCAACAATACTTACTCATTTATCATTCCACGAACCGTGAACGAACAATGGCGCCTCGAAGATAGCCACAATCAAGAACTTTCAGCTTAAGCATGTTTTTTTATGCTAATAGACTTGTTTCACAGCTATAAAACAGAATAGAGCTAACTGCTAACTACAGTATAAACACTCTTTGATTGGATGGATGTCCATTTCGCCTATATCATAATGCACGTGATACCTGCTTAAGTTACGCACCAACTCAAAAAGACTGACAATCCTTTGACGATAAAGTAAATCGGTTAACACACTGATCCACTTCTCGGCTTATCATTCAGTTTGGGCGTTGATACAGAACCAGTCTTGAAGTAACATTTTACATTTCGATCGAAAAAAGAGGACTTTATGTGTTTTTTTTCAGTGCGCTCAATAGATAAGATTATGTCATATAGGGGGCTCCACAATTTATGCACATCCCTCAGAAAATAAAGTCACACTTTTAATCAATGAAATGCGTTCATCAATTCGTCTATTTATCTGATTGATTCAATGTATCACTAATACTCAGTATACAATTAGGTTACGCGTTCGCGCACAAGACTGAAGGTCCTGAGTTCGAATCCTGCAAGGGGCAGGCGTCGTTGATGCGCACTACCACTGATGAGTTCTCTACTATAGGACGAAACGGTCGTCTTTCAATGCTTTTAGGTAATATACAAATAATAATAATAATCATAAAAGCAAATTCCACAGACTATACAACAAACCTTAGGTGTAGCACCTTGAGGAACATGTAAATGAATATCGGATTCTTCAAGAAACAAAGCGGCTTTTGATGATTCCGCAGGATTAAGCATACATTGTTCATCAGTACTAACATTATCAGTAGTAGTAGTAGTAGTGTCAGTAGTTTTTAAAGAGCATGGAGCACCAGAAGCAGCAAATTGTGTAGCAAATGTATGAGCAATCGATATGGATTCTTTCATAACTTTGCCTAAACTTCCAGTGACTTGTAAAACGCCTATCAACAACAACAACAACAACAATAACAACAAAAAAATGTGTGTTAGATAGAAACAGGGGAGAACAGGGCTCGAAAAGAGGCAACCTGTCAATGATGTACTGTCGACGAATCAATCAAACATTTCGAAAATGTAACCAGAGAGTAAATATAAAACGGGTGAGACTATAATTTCAGTCAGCAACAAAGTAGAACTAGGCATATATACGCACGTACATCAGTCCCAGTTCTTATATAACATTAGCATAAAGAGGTGGAATTATCGATTCAGGTCTGATTGTAATAGTAGAGATAGTAAGACTTATAATTTATTGGCAACATATATGTGACGCTAAAGTATTAGAATATGAAGTTAAAAAGTTAGAGAGTGAGAAATTTAGAGCTAAGAGTTTTGTAAATCATGAACTGGCCATCAGTCAGCTATCATGTCGTTTAATCGTATATGTTTCAGTAAATGAATGAATTTCACGCAGAAATCCAAGACAACTTATTTGAAATCAGACTGGTTCGTTTATATAACCACAGTCTGAACTCAATTGGCTTCTGTCAACTTGCGTCACACATGGCTCAGGCGAGATATCCGTTTGCTAACCAAAGGACGAGCGTACTGCACAGCAGCAGATGCGAAACAGGGCCGGTGAGAGTAGAGGACATCCGTAGATTGTTTGTCTTCGACCATGTCTCCGAAGCACTGCTCGTATATGCTGGGACAACCGTATAAGCAATGCTGTCGTTAGGAAACGAGTACTAGGTAGGGATGGCAGATCAATAGATGAAGTAGTGAAGTTATATCATTTGAGGTGGTTGGGACATGTATTACGAATGCACAATCAACCACCGACTGCACTTCCGAGTAATGTTGTCTGATGTCGGAGTATTCTGGAAGAGAGCTAGCGGCGGCCAGACTAAAACATGGCAGAAATTCATGAAATCACTGACAGTCAGATTGAGTCATGTTGGTAGATGTAGGCTAGCCTGGTTGGGGTGCCCGAGACAAAAAACAACGATGGTTAGAGACCTTAAATGACATCATGGCTCGAAATCGTTTGCAATGACGCAGGTGCATTCAGTCTTTGTGTTCTGTCAACTTCTAACCTTCAAAATTCTTCATCACTTCTCGCTCTCTTTCTAAATTTATCTCACTGAATTATACCTAATCATCTCCATTATCGCTAATACTTCTACTAACGCTACCACTAATGGATTTGAACTGACAGTTGTGTCTGTGTGCTGATGTGGTATGGCAACGTGAACTGATGTACATACGTACGAAGTTCTGTGTTGTATCTGTCTGTCTTGACTTGTAAAAATTTAACTTAAATGAATCAAAGATGTAGTGAAAATAATTTCAAAATAAGTTTTAATTAGACAGGAATATTGTTGATCAAGGTTTCAAAAGATTGAGAACTTGGAAGAGTTACTTACGTACAAACACGCTAGACAATGGATGATTGATTATCTTCAGTATCAATAAAAAAACTGTTTAAAATACGCTCCTCTTTTTTTTAAATGAAAAATAAAATGTACACTTATAGCATTGTGAAGATTGTTGAGTTATTTCGAAACCATGAATTGATAAATATTAGATTACCATTATTAGAAACTTGGAAGCACTGTTCAGGTGCGAAGTAGTGCACACCAAAGATATTGGATTGATCGAAGCTAGACATTATTACTGGTAGATATCGGTTCTATGGTCAACAGGTTAAGGGTTTGCATGCAAGGGTCCTGGGTTCGATTTTTGCGAGGAGCGGTAGTCATGGATGTGCACTGCCGGTGATGAGTCCTATACTAGGACGAAACGGTCGTCTTTCAATGCTTCCAAGTCGATTAGGTTAGCCTACCATTGGTCAGTTCATGATTTCGAAATAAAGTTTGATCAGAAACAGTGGAGTAATAGAAGAAAATGTTAATCACTTTACTCAATTATCATGAAAGTGTCTCTCTTGTCGTGCATAGTCGACACTTATCCTATTGAAAATGATGTCTAATACAATATCGTTAAATCATTAAAGCTAGTAAAAAAAGTCGATTATTGTTACGCATGCACGTCAACAGGTTGGTTTGATGTGCTTGAACTATTACGAGTTTACCTTAGTCGGAATACGACAGCGAGGATCGAGGATCCGGCGAAATGACAGCCTACTCTAATTCGATTATCCCAACCCCCCATTAAGTAAAAGAAGCAGACTTGATATGAAGTAGGGTATGTATTCTACAAACATTCAGAAAGTACGAGGTTCAAGTCCAGAAGAGAATCAGGATCCCGACTAGGGATTCGGGTCCAGGCATAAGGCGTTACAGAGAATGCGTATTTATACATTTAGGTCGAATAGGAAACAACATTGAAGTCTATGACATTGACAGTTAGGATGACCAATAGGAAACAACATTTGAAGTGACATTGATAGCTAGGACTACGATAATATTGACCAGTAAGATTTGACCAATAGTATTAGACTTACAAACAATTATCTTAGGAAATTGGATGAATATCCAAACCATTATATACCACAAGAGAATAGTTTTAGTGCACTGTTCATTCACAATGATATCTTGAGAGTTATGAGTTCCACATCAATATCTATGCGCAGTTGATAATGCAGAGTTTTGAGAAGTCAAAAAGCTAGAACAGTAATACATCTGGAATTGTAGTAGTTAAAATCAATACTTTAATTACGCCTGTAACCACCAATGGAGCATAGGCCACCAACCAGCACTCACCAACATACTCTCTCTCGGACATCCCTTTCCAGTTCTATTCAATTTTCGTTCATTCTTCTCATGTTTGTTTCCATTTCTCAGAGGAATGTGTCTGTCTCTTTTCCTTTGGCCTAAAGGATTCTGAGTGAGGTCTTGTCTTGCGACAAAGTTGTGCATTTTCTTCAATGTATGTCCTATCCACTTCTAGCGCTTCTTTCCTGAAACCTTCATCCGCTAGGATTTGGTTTGTTCTCTTTCTAAGTAGGTTGTTGCGGATAGTGTCTGACTAACGGATCCGAAGTATTTTGCGTAGGCAGCCGTCAATGAATACTTATTTCTTGTGGATGATGGGCCTTAGCGGTTCTCCAAGTTTCCGCTCCATACATAAGGACTGTCTTGACATTTGTATTGAAACTCCTGATTTTGGTGTTGTTTGATAATTGTTTTTAAGTTGCAGATGTTGTTAAATTGTAGAAATGTTGTCCCTGTTTTTCCGATACGCACCTTCACATCTGTATCACATATCCGCTGTGCTCAACAATGATGCTGCCCAGATATGTAAAGGTGTTTACATTTTCCAAAGCTTCACCGTCAAGAATGATTTGATTGATGCATGTTGTGAAGTGCCTCTATGTAAACATTATTCACAAGCTTTGTTTTTTAATGAATAGACGTCAGTTTTTGAGTTTTAACAGTGGGATATGCATGAAGTTGGTTCTAACTTGTTCGGCACTAGTCAATAATCGAAACTGAGTAAATGTCTTACATAGATAGAATGAAACACAAATCTTGAATTCTTTCCTAATTATGCACTAAGAGACATACACCACAAAAAAAATGTACTCAAACAAACAAACCTTTTTTATTTGATACTTGCTCTGAATCACTACTACTACCATCATCATCATCATCAACATCATCACGTGAATCAGTAGTATTGGTAGGCGGAGAGAAATATTTCGGTTTTTTATTAGTACATTCAATGTATAGAATAGAACCACCCATAGATGTCCATGCTAAACCCATTACAACACCAGGTGGTGTCAATGAATCATACAAACGATCTGATGTCCAAATTGGTTGACCAACATATGTTGTTAAATTATCATTATTCACTGATATGGGTGGATCTTTTTCAGCATTAACTAATTGATAAGCAACTTTACGTACAACCTGTATGAACCAATGAAAAAACCAATGAATGAAGCATTATAATAGAGAGAGAGAGCGAGAGAGTATAAGCAATATTTTTATGTAATGTAATGTATATACAGGGATGTCTTGAGTAAACAACATAAATATCTGAATACTACTTATACGCTCAGTCAGTCAGTCAGACGCAACGTAGAACTTTGTACATAAGTACATCAGTTCATGTTGCCATACCACATCAGCACAGAGAAGTAATCGTCAATTCAAATCCAATAATAGAAGAGGTAGTAAGGGAATTAGAAGTAATCGGAGAGGTTAGGGTTAGAAGATACTATTCAAGAAGTATGATTCAGTGAGAAATGTTTAGAGAGTAGAAACTAGAGGGGTTGAACAATCCAGAAGATTAGGATTTGAGAGAACACAGAGAATAAATGCACTGGCGCCATTGCGAACGATTTTGAGCCATGTCATTCAAGGTCTCTAACCATCGATTATTATCATCTCGCGGACCCTAACCACGTAGTCGACAATTACCGACATGGCTCAGTCCACTCGTCAATGACTTCATGGATTTGTGCCATGTTTTGGTTTGGCCGCCCCTAGCTTTCTTCCAACCTATTCCTACACCACAAAACAAAGCTCGACGAGGCAGTCGGTGGTTCGGCATACGCAACACATGTCCCAACCACCTCAACTGATGAAGTTTCACCACTTCATCGATTGATCTGCCATTCTTACCTAGTACTCGTTTCCTAATAACAGCGTTGCTAACTCGGGTGTCCCACGATATACGAGCAATGCTTCGAAGACACCTATGATCGAAAACCAGTAACCTACGAATATCTTCTGCTCTCACTGGCCATGTTTCACAGCCATAAAGTAAGACGAAGCGAACCACTGCGCAGTACACTCGTCCTTTAGTCAGCAAACGGATATCTCGCCTACGCCATAAGTGACGCAGGTTGGCAAAAGCCAATCGAGCCTTCTGTATCCGTGCTGAGATTTCGTCAGTCACCAGGCCATCGGCACTGATGAGACTCCCCAGATAAGTGAAGCGGTCTACACGTTCGACTACTTCACTCCCTATCACTAGTTCAGGTGCCGATGAAACCCAATCTTGAAGCAACGTTTTGCATTTCGAGAGGGAAACCGCATCCCGAACATGCTTGCATTGTTGCTTAGGGTAGTCAGAAGACTCTGCATTTTGTCAGCGTCTTCACCAAGTAGGACAATGTCATCGGCATATTCTAAGTCAATAAGCGAGCCACCTGGTAGAAGGTCTACTCCTGAAAATTCAGACGAGGACAATGTTATGTCTAGGAGCATGTCTATGATAAAATTAAACAAGAATGGAGAAAGTGGACATCCCTGACGGACACCACTTGAAGTAGAGAATTCCGGTGACAGTTCGCCATAAGCTCTCACTCGACCAGTGGTGTTTGAGTAGAGAGCTTGTATGAGGTTAATGTACTTATTTGGTACACCTTTCAATGACAGACACTGCCACAGAACCTCACGATCAACAGAGTCAAATGCCGCCTTAAGGTCTAGGAAAACAATATTGTAGGACGCCCAAATGTGTGTCTATGTTCCAGGACCTGTCTGAGTGTGAAGATGTGGTCTATACAGCCACGTCCTGGTCGAAAACCAGCCTGGTTTTCTCCAGTCTGCTCTTCACGAGCTTTCGTTAAGCGTCGAAGTATTATTGAGGCCAGTATTTTAGATACTACATTAGTTAGACTTATTCCCCTGTGATTGTCACAAGAAGACTTTTGTCCTTTCTTATAGATTGGGACAATCAAGGATTGAGACCAGTCGGATGGGATTGCGTCCAGTTCCCAGATTCTACCTAAGATCTCAGTCAACCTAGCTGATAAAACTGGACCACCATCCTTAGATATCTCAGGGGTCAGTCTATCAGGACCTGCAGCTCGTCCTCGTTTCAGATTTCCTAACGCTTTCTCAACGTCATTAAGACTAGGAGGACTTACGTCGATTTGCCATTCAGGATGACTGGAGATCGTGGGTAACCGAAGAGTGGCTCTAGGCCAGTTGATCTGATCCCTAAAGTGTTCTGCCCATCGATCCAGTCTCCTGGATTGAGAATCGATAATAGGACCATCCTTTTCCGAGATAGTCTCACTCACATTCGGGTTCTTTATACCAGTTTCTTTAATAAGGCGGAAAAGTTGTCTAGTGTTGCCTATCGCCGCTGCCTTTTCCATCGCTTTTGCTTTCGCCACCCACCACTGTTCGCGGTCGTTACGTAGACTTTTTATAAGTCTGCGCCTAAGCTGACTACGCTCTTCATCATGTTCAGAGTCAGGTGGGATGCGTTTTCGAGCATCCATCAGTTCGGTGGATGCGACTGAAATCCACGTCTTCATCCTAGCCTCATGGTTTACCTTCCTAGTAGATATCACTGCTGTTTCCACAGCCTTTTTGATATCATACCAACCTGCTTCTGGATGGGACTCGCTTGCATGGTTGCTTAACTCTCTTTCTAATCGCTCCTGAAATATTTCCTTGGTTTGATTATCATCAAGTAAAACCCTAAGAGGCTTCCTTACGGTGTCTTTCCTATGTCCAGTAAGCCTCAAGCAGATACGAGCTCGCACTAGAGCATGATCTGAATCCAAACAAGTGCCCCAGAACGAGCGACAGTCTTCTATCGAACCCCTCCATCGGCGGCTGATGGCGATGTGATCTAGTTGAGTCCAACGTTGAAACGACTTCGGGGGTCGCCAGGTCAACAGATGCTTTTCCTTATGCCTAAAGTTGGTGTTCGCTAAGAATAGGCGGTTATCTGAGCATAGTTGCAACAGACGGTCGCCATTGTCTGTTCTCTCAGTCGCTACACCATAACATCCACCAAGATGTCTTTCCTTTTCACCTAGTCTATCTACTTGAGCATTAAAGTCCCCAGCCATTATTACTATATCAGAGCGCCTAGCTTTTTGGAGGAGGTCCGAAAGCTTTCTGTAAAACTCGTCTTTCACGTCGTCTGCACTGCAGTCAGTGGGGGCATAGGCAGATATGACGAAGAGGCAACGGCGAGTGTCCCTATCCTTCCGAGTCCTTACTGTCCCGTTTAGTCGGACAGCGCACAAACGACTATCTACTGGGATCCAGTCTAGGAGAGATAATTCTGCCCTAGGACTCAACGCTATGCCTACGCCAGCAAGACCCCTGGAAGCAGCATCAGGGCTACCGGCTCTCTGAGCTACTTATACGCTACACAAATTAAAATGAATCTGACTAGTATGTGGGGCTGGAGGAATACGCAAACCGAAGTTAGTGGTTTTATTTAAGGGCAGTTGCCTGAAACAAACAACATGTAATATATGAGCAAGTGAAACGACGTTAGGAGATGCCGTTGAATAGCAATAGGTTTATATGTCAATTGTTCTGTCAGGAATCTGGTGCTAATGTAGACCATTGGTTTGGAATGAAGGTTTTCCAACCCATTTAGGTGGATATTTGGTATCTATCAACTCGGTTAAAAGTCGTTTCTGAACATTTATTATTCGTCTTCTCAATTTTGTAAAGAAACACTCTCGACACGAGAATGAAGTGAGTAGGAATTTCCAGGCAGTGCCTATATACACGTGGCCAAGAGAACATTTTGAGACAGAGATTAGACTCTCGACCGCACTACGATGTTTCGGAGCTTAATGTTATCGATGTCTATCTCCCTTTAATCATGACAACTAGTGGTTAAGATGTTCATCTTTCAGCCACTAAGTCCTAGGTTCGAGCTCCACTCGATCCACTTCATTTTGGATAACCGGATAGCAATGTTATTCACTGTCACATAATTAGAAGAAAGTGGTTCATATTTGGGTACCTTGGGAATGAGAGTAGACTAATAATTCATACATTAAGTTATCACAGCTGATGAGTGGATTGGTCGTCAATGAATCTTATGGTTCTGATCTAGGAGAGAAATAAATTCATGAAGCATTTAGAAAACACTGTAATATGTGATATTTACGCTCAAAATCGATTAATAATTTATTTGCAAGGAGGAAAATTTCTGAGAATTTAACTCCGGTTAAAGCCCCCCTCTGGGCCTACTATCGGCCCCAAGTCCGGATAAAGATGGAGAGTTGGACATGGGGTAAGAGAGCCCATCCCATAGAAAACTATCTTGATAAAAATAACGCTAACCAAAGAATTAAACAAAGGATAAAAAAGAGTTGAATAAGAAAATGAACGAAAGAGGATAGACAAATGACTGAACATTTTAATATTTCGAATACGGATAACAGTCGTGCTGTAAACTTTGAGATTCCATGGGTTATAACTGAGTCAATCAAAAATGACCAAATGAGAAGGTTATTTTTGTTGATAATAAAAAAAATGTCCTAAAGAATCAATAAATCTATCTTTGATGAAGAAATGAATTCATTTTCTAAAAGGAATGGATGTACATTTATCTATGTGAATAATTGTGTATAGTATTCAGTAGCCAACTAGTGGACTTGCTCTCTTGAACACTTAGTTTCATACTCTAGTAGCCACTTTTGGAGGAGTTAGCGAGCATTGCGTTCAAACCTTCAGGACACTGCCTATCATAACAAGATGCGTGAATACTTGTTGATGATGACATCCAAAAACTTAAAACCAAACTCTCAGTACGATTATATCGAGTGTTGTGTTCCTCTTCACTTATGGACAAAAAAGATGTAGTGTATTGATCAGCTGGAGGTATAACAAAACAAAGCTCAAATGTTAATTATCCGAGGGTGGTACCACATACTCAGTGATATTCGCTTCGCATCATGCACTGTCAGTGACTGAAATTCACAAGGACACGGTATGATGTTTCCTCGTACGGAACTCTTATGATGGATTTAACTGCAAAATCGTGCACAAAGGGCAGCTGACAAACTCGTCCGAGGTGAAGACCGGTGTCAGACAAGGTTGCTTACTCTCACTCTTTCTCCTGCTGATCAACTGGATTATGAAGACGTCAACATCTGGAGGGAAGCTCGGTATCAAATGGACAGTTAGGATGCAGCTGAACAATCTCGACTTCACAGATAATCTGGCTCTTCTATCGCACACGCAACAACAAATTCAAGAGAAGACGACCAGTGTAGGAGCAGGTCTCAACATATGTAAAAGGAAAAGCAAGAATCTACGATACAACACAACATGCACCAACCAAATCACTCTTGATGGAGATGCCTTGGAGGACGTTAACACCTTTACAAATCTGGGCAGCATCATCGACAACCAAGGTGGATCCGATGCAGATGTGAGGGTGCGGATCGGCAAAGCAACGGCTGCATTTCTACAGTTGAAAAATATCTGGAACTACAAATAAATATCAATCGACACTAAAATCAGGATTTTCAATACAAATGTCAAGACAATTCTACTGTATGGAGTGGAAACTTGGAGAACTACGAAAGCCATCATCCAGAAGATACAAGTGTTTATTAACAGTTGTCTACGCAAAATACTTCAGATTCGTTGGCCAGACATCATCAGCGAAAACACGCTGTGGGAGAGAATAAACCAGATTCCAACGGAGGAGGAAATCAGGAAGAAGCGATGGAAGTGGATAGGAAACATACTGTGAAAAGCAACGAACTGCATCACAAGACAAGCCCTCACATGGAACCCTCAAGGCAAAAGGAAAAGAGGAAGGCCAAGGAACACATTACTTTTCCGAGAAATAGAAAAAGACATAAGAAGAATGAACGAAAACTGGAAAGAACTGAAAAGGGAAGCCCAGGACAGAGTTGGTTGGAGAAAGCTGGTTGGTGGCCTATGCTCTATTGGGAGTAACAGGCGTAAGTAAGTAAGTAAGCAATGATGTTTCATGTTCATAAGATCGATCTTCCTCCTACCTAACGAGCTCATTCTGTTATGAGGAGAGGGATCGCTTCTAGTTCTATTGTTCTACAACCCACCTCTAACTAGTATGGCGAAATCTAAAGGCAGGAATATATTAAGCCAATCTAATCTGATGATGTCATGATTACATGTATATATACATATATATAGCAAAGTCAGACAATCCATCAACCATTAAATCAAGGTAGGATCTATGGTTGCGTAAAATCAATTTGGCATGGATTAACAATAATGCATTATTGTAATGTGTAAACCTTTGCGCCCACACACACACACACACACATACTGATACACGGAAAAAACAAACTATAATACCACACAAAAATGTATAAAACACTGTGGGAAAGTGGAGATACAGTAACAATAACAGCGGAAATTACTGAACGAACGGGCAAACGAACGAATTCTGTACGATAATTAAATTAGAAATTCTTATTTTCTTGTTATAGTTAAAAATGACACATGCAATTCAAGTTACAGCGTTTACATACACAAATTGTGTTGTTGTAATAAGTACGCTGGATTAATTACATAACACACTATGCATATTATATGCACACACACACACACGCACGCACAGACACACCAATATACATTGATGTAATGATGATAGGTGCGTGTAATGTTTAAGTGATTAAATATCACAACGAAAAAGTAAGCGGCGACAAGCCAGTTGTTAAAATCAATGCGGTTATTAATAGTTATTCAAAATGGTTGGACTTGTTTAGACAAATAGACATATATATACACACACACACATAACATAGGACTACGGCCTGGAGCCTTGAGGATTGAGTAGCCAGGAGCGTTAACAACCCCATTTAAACCGTATATATAGTGAATTCTTTTATGACAACATGCGCTAAACTATTAAAGTCTTCAAGGAAAATGGAGCAGGTTTGAACAGTGATTAAATTAGATGGATTTGGAAAGTTTTAGTAGGTAATACTATCAAATTGGCCTAAAATTGCTGATCATCTGTCTCTGGAATTCGTTTACTAATCAATACAAATGTTTTCTTGAATTAAAGTTATGGAGATCAGTGTTTTTACACAGAAATCATGAATCAATCATTGTTAAATCCACCCAATTGGAAACCTGGAAGCACTGAAAGACTGCCGTTTCGTCTTAAGGCAGAACTCCTCAGTGACAGTGAGCATCTACGACTCCTATTACTCGCAGGATTCTAACAAAGGATCTTCGGACTTGGGCGCGAACGCCTAACCTCTGTACCACTGGGCCGGCATCCAACGATGTTAATGTCTAACTCTGATCAATCTAAGGATTTTGCGCGACCTCACCCATTTGATTGATTCATGATCTCCATCACTCGAATTGAAAAATCGTATATGACTTGCTTCGAGAGGAAATTCTAAGAGTTTTAGTGACATAACGTGACCAGTGGAGTTCAACTCTATCGGGTGTGCGTTAAGCAGACAAATGAGAATGAAGAGAGTGCAGGGTAAGCAAAATGGAGAAGGCGAGTGAGCCAACTCCATGAGATCGACAGTCAGACAAAAAACGGGCTAGACATGTGATATAGGCGAAGTAAGTACACACACAACCAAGATTGGAAGCTGATAATGAACAAGCTTAAAAGACGTGTGAGTAACTCAAGGAGAATGGATTATTTAGTTTGTTCAAAGGCTGGGACACAAGCCCCGTAGGCTCGATAGCATTGACTACAAATACTACCAGGTCTCATGTTTAAAATACCGATTGATACCATTTTCAACAATCGTCAGCTTGATAAGAGTGACCATGATCGCTATTTAAAACCAATCGAATAGTGAGATATTGATTAGTAATCGCAAGGGTAGCATTTCTACAATTGGAGAACATCATCTGCAATTCAAAACAACCACATATATCAACTAACACCAAAGTCAAAATTTTCAATACAAATGTTAAGACAATTCTACTGTATGAGGCAGAAACTTGGAGAACTACCAGAGCCATCATCCAGAAGAAACAAGTATTAATGAACAGTTGTCTACGCAAAATACTTTGGATCCGTTGACTAGACACCATCAGCAACAATCTACTGTGTGTGAGAGAGAGCAAACCATATCCCAGCGGAGAAGGAAATCAGAAAGACGCACTAGAAGTGGATAAGACACACATTGAGGAAAGCACCCAACTGCGTCACAAGGCAAGCCGTCACTTAAATTCCTCAAGGCCAATAAAGTGGAAAAGAGGAAGACCAAAGATCATATTACTCTGAGAATTGAAAGCACACATAAAAAGAATGAAAAGCGATTTGACAGGACTGCAATAGAAGGCCCAGGATAGAATCGATTAGAGCATGCTGATCGATAGATAGCCTCTATAGCTCCATTGCTGAAGGGGGTGGATGGATGGGTAAAACAAGCGTCAGTAAGTAATTGAAAATAGAATAACATAGTATTTGCAATTAAAAAACAACACCAACATTAAAACGAAAAAAAAGCAAACATGAAAACATACTTTTTCAATATGTTTTTGCAGATTACGTACACCACTTTCACGACAATATTGTTTAATTAAACATTTGATTGCACTGTCATCAATTAAGAGACGATTATTATCCAAACCACAATTTCGTGTAGCCAATGGAAGAAGATAACGCTAACCAAAAAAAAATGAAAAAATATACACAGATAGATAAAGATGTAATCAAAAGTAACTTTTTTTTCTTTTATTGATAATGCGTATATAGATATGAAGTAGAGAAAGAAAACGCACACTTGATACCGATTGGTGACTGCGTCAGTGGATGTGGTCGTTATTATCGTTTTTATTCAAAAAGATACTTTCAAATGAATTGAGTATACAGTGGTGAATTGAAAAGAACGATTAAATCAACAGTTTCTAGCACAGTCAGTCAGTCTTGTGTGCTGTTACGAATATGAGGGCGTGACTGAACAGCCCAAGGGACAACTGCTTGAGGCCGACCACATACGGCTTTTTTTATGGGATATTTTAGAAGGCTCTGCCCGTTATTTCGCGTACCACCCCCCCAACCTGGTAGTCTACACATAATAACATAACTCACTCAAGTTGACGATGACTTTATGGATTTGTGTCATGTTATGGTTTGAAGTCACTAGCGTTCTTCCAAACTACCTCTATATCAGAAAACGAACGTAGTCGGTGGTTAGGCGTACGTAACAATACATGTGCCAACTACCTTAACTGAAGATGCGCTACTTCATCAATCGATCTGCTATCCTTACCTAGCACTCGTTTCCTAAAGACAGTATTGCTAACTCGATTGTCCCACGATGTACAAGCAATGCTTCGAAGACACCTCTCTATGATCAAATATCAGTAACCTATGGAATTTATTACAAACTTGATAATTGTAATGATGTAGAATATTTATAGCTTAGTTGGATTGTTTTAGTGTTTTTTTTGTGTTTACATTGTAAACAGTAATAAAAATGATGAAAAATTCCTAAAATATCCCTTGTGAAAAACTCTAGAGGTCTAGAAACGTCAGGAATGGTTTTATCCAATCAGCTTTCGGTAACAAAAGGAAATTAAAAGTAGTTGTGTGTCAAATGATCGTTTAAATCTTCCCATTGATATTTGCGACTAGAACTGATCAGTTTCATGTTAATATATGTGCATTCTGTGCCGAATTATGCCTTGGTATAATCATAAGTTATAGGCATTGTGTGCAATACAGTGGAATTAAACTTCACTCTATTGTAGAATCCAGTGGCTATTTGGACTTAGTAGTTACATGGATGTGATGGCGTCTGAAGCAAACTGTACTGGGTTCGAGTACCGGAGTAGACTACAGCTATGGGGTGCATTAGATTGTTCACAGGTATGACACGTATAAAGCAGACAGATCGTAAGAGTACTGGTAGCAAGGCACCCGAGAAGCAGTTGGCTACTAAGGTAGTCTGCAAGAATGCTTCAGCTACCGGTGGTATTAAAAAGCTTCATCGTTATCAGCCAGGAACATTTGCCTTCCGTGAGATTCATCGTTATCAGAAGTAAACTGAACTACTTTATCCGCAAAGCGACCTTCTATCGCTTATTCCTCCAATAAATTGCTCAAGACTTCAAGACTGACCTTTCCATGTACATCCGGCTAAGGATGAAAACATGCATCCTCGGTTCCACACTGTTAAATACTTATAGTGAGTGTAAGTTTATGTCGAGCCCACAAGGCTTGTTCCAAGCCTTCGGACAAATTAACTAATTCATTCTCTCCCAGTTCCTATTCACTCATCTTTTGACCTTATCAACTATTCGCTTTTATCGTTTACTTACCCCATATTACAGGTTCGGTTTATTTTTGTCCTGACTATAAATGCTTAGTTATGCTTCATCGCAGGAGAGTTGACTCGCTCACCTTAGCCGCTTCGCTTTGCTCTGCTTGTATACTTTTTGTTCTCATATCAGTCTGCATGAACGATTATTACATAGGATAAACTCATCCAACCGAATCCGTATTTGGCTTCCAATTACCACCGTCGCCTCAGAAACAGGGAACTGAAGGGAAGATTTATTTGATTGCATTCTCGATCATTTGTAAATATCGCAGTCGCATCATGGGCCACTGAAATGATGAGCTCGACAATGAACATCACCTTAACCTGTCACACACATTATTCAATCTTCAATTTACAAATTAAAAACGACTACAACAAAACAAAACAAAGCAAAAAAAATTCAGAATACAATTTACTTTTGCAATAGCTAATTTCTCTTCTTCCACATAACCGGATACTTCAATCACTTCCATCCGATCTCTTAATGGCTCTGGTATAGTGTCTAGCTGATTAGCTGTTGTAATAAACAATACACGACTTAAATCCACTGTAACATCAAGATAATGATCAAGAAAATTAACATTTTGTTCTGGATCAAGCAATTCTAATAAAGCACTCGCTGGATCACCTTGCCAACCACGACCTAATTTATCAATCTAATGTAGATAAACAAAAATGAAACATAGAATTGAACAATTGAATACTATATATAATATGAAGTACGAAATCTCAAATGAGATTTGTATAGAAAGTAAATATCTATGTGTGTGATGAGTGTGTGCAATGGGTGTTGTATGGTGTTTGATTTTGATACGAATAACTAATCTTTCTGTAGACAACAAGTTCAACTGGCTTATTTACTGATCCCAAATAGCATCAGGTTGTGTCCTTTCATTTCTTCAAGCAAATTGAATGATTCTGTCGGTTTTCAACAATCTACGAACATTCTCTATGTACTTACCTGCATGGTTAATGGTTACTCTGATTGTCAGGAGATAGACATTATCGACTTCACAACTTCTGAAGAAATTAGACTTTCATTATGAGACTTTGCTAACCTCAGAAGAACTAGAGATGGAATCCTTTCAACTGACTACTCAAACTAAAAGTAGGAAAATATGTTTGATGTTTTCAAAAGGTAAATTCATCTCTGAGTCAATCAAAGACACTTAATAATTGGTTGATTCCTGAGTGGCTTGACGTATCTGAGTATATTCAGCAATAAAACGATAAAAAATCCAAACGAGATCATATTATTATTATTTTAAGAATATATTTTGTTTTATCACTTAATTTTACCGGGATTTTCAAACCATATGGATGAGGTTCAGTTCAGCAATTTGAAGTTTGTGAATTTAGTGTCTGATTCTCAAAGATAGTAACCCTCCTGGTACGACTGAGAGTGGAAAAAGTTTACTTTCCGTCTTTAAAAGCTTTCAATAAGCCAATGACAGGGAAATGCTACCTACTATCTTCTTCTGTTGTTTACAACAGTCAAAGGACGAAAAGCATATGTTCCTGTAGGTCCTACCATGCCAGACAGGTCGACTGAAGAACGATAAAGCTAAGAGCAGAAACTCGATATCTGAGGGCGAAGTCATACTGCTAACTGTAGAGGGGTGTGACAGCAATAAGGTGTTCCCTCAGACAACCTGCATCTACATAGATGCCGCCTTCTCACAAGGAAGGGGTTAGAAAAGGTCGGCCCTAAAAATGTCACACCTCGTCTTACCCCACGGATTTCCATTTGAAACGCCAAAACTTCCCGTAAAAAGGCCGTGCAGGATCAGCCTCAAACAACTCTCCCCTGGTGTATTCGGTCACGCTCCTAGGTCTCTAATACCAACGCTAACCTACATTCTATTTCAGGCTCCTCAAAAAACAACCTTCCAAGGTGTGGGCAACCAAGATGTGATATCTGCCCTCATACCCGTAAAAGCATACGAGATCGAATTAGTCACAAATAAATCCTTACTACACCTCCTGACAACCCTGTCTTAACTCAATGACCGAACCTTGAATTAGGGTACATACGTACGAAGTTCTACCTTGTAGCTGAGTGACTGATAACACACTCTAAATATGTCTCTAAGATAACTGTAAAACCAAGTTTCTTTTCAGGTTCCTAAAGAAACACCATTTCCACAGTAGACGCAACTGGGAAATGACATCTGCCCTCATACATGTAACAGTATATGACACGGTATTCATATATATATATATATATATATCTTTGTACTACCAATTATGTGTTTCAATAAATAAATCTATAAATAATTGACAGGAAGTGCAATAAATGTTCGGTATAATTTTATTGCTTTTTCAAACGCTAAGCGAACTGGATAGAAAAGCTCACTTCAGTGTAAAACGTGCAGGGTTTTTTTCGGGAAACTTATATATGCAGAGAATATTTATCACAGACTGGTTAAAAGTGAAATGTTATTGAAAGAATCAAAGAGTATTGAACCAGCAGTTACTTCAATCGACAACATTCAAGAAATATAATCCATAAGAGACTTTGTGTAAGGTGTGTGAGATGTTACTTGCCGGCTGCCCACACCGTGGAAGGGTGTTTCTTGAGGAGACTGAAAGGAAGGTAGATTAGTGTTGGTCCTAGAGAACTGGGGGCGTGACCGCAGAGCCCAAGGGACAACTGATTGACGCCGGTCATGCACGGCCTTTTTATGGGAAGAATTGAAAGTCTGAGCTCCACTCATTTTAAAGCCCTTATTGGACAGCCCTTACTGACAAAGACGGAAATCCGTGAGGTAGGGTGAGGTGTGACATTTTTAGTATTGACCTTTTCCAACCCTTCCTTCCTGGTGAGAAGGCAGCATCTCTGTAGATGCTGGTTGTACGAGGGAAACATCTTACTGCTGTCACACCCCTCTTCAGTTAGCAGTACGATTTCGCCCTCAGACCTTGAGTAATTGTTTTTAGTCAGATTGTTCCCCAATCGACCTGCCTGGTATGGTAGAACCTTCAGGAACATATGTTCCATCCAATATAAGCTCGATTGGGTCATCACGATAGGCAAGCCCGACCATCACGTCAAGGTAACAGCTACGGTTGAGAGTTTAGCAGTTAGCCTAGAATTTCATTTGCATGTCGTTACTATCAACATTTTGTTTAAGGTTAATAGTTTAAAGTGTACACCATTTCAACTGTGATTAGCATAACAAATGATATAGTTGTATCATTGAACATTGAATTAAATCAATATTAACAAGATTCAATGTTCAAACATTTGACATGATTATACATATTAACTAGTAGTAGGCTAGAAACAAAGATTTGAATATAAAATGAATGTTCTGCTTTTCACTTACCAGCCTCCATAATTCATTTAAATAAAAAAAATAATTTTTTAAAATCATTATTTCGCTTATTTAATAGAAATTTCATCTCCACACAAATGGAAACAACATTCATAATAATAACGCCATATGGATATATTATGTCATACGAGCGCGAAGTGAAAATTCAAAGAAATATCTAAACACAAAAGAGTGGTGGTATCCAGTTTAGGTTCTTCTGATGATTGCGTCACAAACCAAGGGGAAAAATACAGAGGTTGACAAAATACATCACTTTTGCATACATAAGTACGATTTTCTGCAGTCGATCTAAAAATAGCCTCAGCTATGTAGAGTAGTTGTGCAATCTAGTTCTATTCGAGGCAACAGATTATTTGAAATTTGATAGAAATGAGAGAGAGAGCAAGTTTTATCGAGTGCGAAATGATGGCAGTGTTAATCGATAACTTTATTCTTTTCCCCAACCATGATGCTGTTACATGTTTACAAGCACGTAGGAGGATAAAAACCCTCTGAACACGATCGATCAATATTCTATGGGGATTTTTCGAACCATTCATAACAAGTAAGCATCTAGTTACATTGAACGAATTCAATTACTGCTTGCAGAATAGTGCACCAACGTAAATCTGTACAGCGATTTTATCCTAGTGTAGAACTTATTTCAATGGCAGTGCGCATCCACGACTCGGTGAATGGGGATTGAACAAGGGGCCTTCAGTGTCGCGCGCTAATACTTAACCTCTTACCCACTGAGCTTATATAGCTAGTTTAACTCCGCATGGAGCACTTCTAGGGTTACTGCCGGTAACAAGCTCTGAGTAAAGGAGGTGGGTTGGGTATGGGTTTAGCGACGCTATGTTGTAAGGACCTAAATCGTTATAAAAACGCTAAGCAGAAAAGATCACTCATACCATTTAAACTCTGGCAAGCGAGTTAGTTGGAAGGTCTTCAATCAGAAGAATCATGACGTCACATGATGAAAGACAGACAGGTAGGAACAACATAGAACTTCGTACGTACGTACGTACATCATTTCAGCTTGCCATACCGCATTAACACACAGATGCAACTGTCAGTTCAAATCACATAGTGGTAGAGATAGTAGAAAAATTAGCAGTAATGGAGAAGATTAGGGAGCGAAGATATAGTTCGAGAAGTATAATTCAGTGATATAAATTTATAAGGAGAAAGGTAGAGATTATGAGGAATCCAGATGGTTAGAATTAGAGAGAACACAAAGAGTGGATGCAACTGTGCCATTCCAAACGATTTTGAGCCATGTTGTTCAAGGTCTCTAACCATTGATGACTTACATCTCGCGGACCCCAACCAGGCAGCCTACATTTACCAACATGACTCAGTCCACTTGTCAGTGATTTCATGGCAAGTGAACTGAGTCGTGTCATAATACTCCAACATGATGAAAGCCGAGTTCCCTAAGAAATCGCAAGGTCGAAACTCACCTTCTGACAATTAGAGCAGACATTATATACATAAAGGTACATGGAACGCTCGTACATTTTATGAGAGCGGAAAAAAAGCCTATAAACTAGATTCATGCGTAAAAAAATTATTGACACACATTAAACAGAACAAAAAAATAAAAGAGAAATTTTTTTTTAAGAAAAAAAATTCTTACTTCATCAATTAAAATGAGTGGATTTTCAGTTTTAGTTTTTTTAAGACATTGAATAATTTTCCCAGGCATTGCACCAACATATGTACGTCGATGACCTTTAATTTCTGAGACATCAGACATTCCACCAACAGAGAAACGAAAATACTTAATAAAAAATAAAAGAAACAAGAGACAATACTGAATAAGATGAATTTATATTGATAGATTAATATGAAAGGTTATCCATTGTTATATTAGAATAGTTATAGATAAATGAACTGAGTCATGTTGGTAGATGTAGGCTACTACCTGGTTGGGGTCCGCGAGACGAAAGTCACCGATGGTTGGAGACCTTGAATGACATGGCTCAGAATCGTTTGGAATGGCGCAGGAGCAATCACTCTTTGTGTTCCGTGAAATCCTAATCTTCTCGATTCGTCAACACTTCTACATTTGTTTTTCTAAACTTATCTCACTGAATTATACTTCTTGAGTAATATCTTCAAATCCTTATCTTCTCAATTACAAGTAATATTTCTACTATCTCTACCACTATGGGATTTGAATTGACAATTGCATCTCTGTGCTAATGTGGTATGGCAACCTGAACTGATGTACTTACGTACGAAGTTCTACATTGTAACAGACTGACTGGGATAAATGTTATGGCAGGGGCCGGCTGCTGACTTCTGGACTAAAAAACGCATGGTACATAGAGAATCCAGCGAATTATAGACCAATGAGAACTTGGCTGTTGACTAAACTTTTAACGGTGCGTACTCATGTACGTGTAACTGGTCAAATCAGCGATGTAATATGAACAACCTTCATTGACTGTGGGGGGGGGGGGGTAAAAATAAGAATATGCATTTTGAAATGGTGGTGATGAGAATTTGTAGCTCAGGTAGATGTCAGGCAGTCAGTTACAACGTACAACTTCGTATGTATGTACATTAGTACACAGAGATGCAATTGTCAGTTCAAATCTCATAGTAGTAGAGGTAGTAGAAGTATTAGCAGTAATCGGAGAGATTAGGGATCGAAGGTATTATCAGGAAGTATAATTTAGTGAAATAAATTTACAAAGAGAAAGATGAGGGTGATGATGAATTCAGAAGATTATACTTTGAGAGAATTCAAAGAATAGATGCACCAGCGCCATTGCAAAAGATTTTTAACTATGATTTCATTCAAGGTCTCTAACCATCGATTACTAACACCTCGCCGATCCCAACTCAGGTAGATGATTATGTATTCAAATACTGAACCAGGCGAGAGAAAATGTCTAGAGGAGTGATTGAACCAAACTACAGAATCAGTACATGAATTCATCGATTATCAGACAAAATAGGGTTTCTAATAATAAGGACTCCAATTTATTTGCAGTCCATAAGGGGATTATCGAAAATCGGTCAGTATATTTCATCATAAATAATGATGCAGTAAGTAAGCAATGATGCTGAAATTACATTTCAGTGACAAGATTGAATTTTCATCAACACCACATGTGATTGAGACGTAAATGACTCATGACTAACCCACACCACCCATCCATGCTGATCTAGTGATATGCTCGTCAATGGATATGCTTGAATGCTATTACGAGTTCACCTAACTCGGTAAACGGAGCGCAGATAAATGGATGCAGCGATACGATAAGCTATTCTAATCCGTTTGTTACCGGCCTCGCTAACTAGCTCAAAAGTCTTGATAAGGAGCACCCAGAAAATAAGAGGCTGTTAAGCATAAAAATCAAGCTTATTTATCCCAACGCTCTTGGGAGAGCCAAAAATAGCGTACTAAAAAAAATCCGTCAACCAATAACAGTAAAGGATTTCCGAGTGGGACATGTAAGCTGTAGGTCATCTACTAAGCGTCTCGGCGCGAAACCATAGAAATTCAAAATTTTAAAAATAAATTCCAATATTAAGACATTTTCTGAGTGAGTTCTAGGAATCTAACGTCCCCAACACCTAGGTACAGGGGTTAGGGTGGAGGTATTGACAATCATCAATCTGAGCTACAACGAAAGATACAAATTATCTTGATTGACGTCCCTACAAACATCAGTCCTTATATGGCTTAATAAAGAAAATGGTTGTAAGAAGAGAATTACTCATTCCAAACTATTCCTATGCTTTGATCACGTTTATTGAAGCGATCTGTGACAAATTAAAGAGAAATACACATTTATAGACTATTACAGTGTTTCACATTGATGATAACGAATCGGAAAAAACATCATCACTTTAAATTTGTTGAATAAAATCGAACAACCTCTATTATGTGTTTGAACATACATATGTGATATAAATTAAGAGACATGCTAGGCGATCTCTGGAGATCTAACATGCTCAACAAGATCAGAAAGTACAGCGTGTTCAGAATGATCTGAGACCAGACGAAAACTGAGAGAAGACTGTCTAAGATGGCACTCAAAACTGTTGGACAGCAGACAGTAAGACATTGTTCTCTCCAATGAGAATCAGACTGAAGAGTTACAATAACAAATTACAGGTATTCAAGAACACATGAATAGGAATGTTGGTTTAGTGAAATTACAGGAATACGATTGCTATATGTACATTACGTCTTCAACCATCAATCTTGTAAGTTGTTGTATGTTCAACAATCCAATTTCGTTCTACACTGTTTTCTCTCTTCTAATTTTCTAAATATAGTCAACACACACACACTGTACTTTGATTGTAACTTCCAAAACGAGACGTCCGGCTAGACACTATTTATCTTATGAATATAGCTTTCATCGCATATGCAAAGATTGTTCAATTCACATTTCCTGCTAACAATTCAATGTTCAATCTCTAGCTTAACAATAAAACAAAAACGTGTTTAAGAGTTGAAAATGTTTAAAAGTATAATAAAATAAAAACCAACTTTTCTATTTAGCGCACGAGCTATTGAATTTGCTATACTGGTCTTACCAACGCCAGGTGGACCACAGAAACACAAAATTTTGCCTTGTGTTGAACCTTTCAATTGACTGACTGCAATGAATTCCTTGTAGAGAAGAGAAATGAAAAGAATAGAGAAGCAAAAAAGTGGAATACATAGAGAATAATGTCAATTATTGGTTAGAATTGATCTAATGATCATAATTCTGACGTCAATTTCGAACAAACAAAACAAAGCCTAGTTAAGAAATCTAACTTGAGCAGATAACAGATCGCAACAGACTGTCAGCAAATGAGCTTTCTTCTTGTGCAACAGCCACTTACTCAATGACTTATTACTACTTACAGTATCAAATTACCTGGTGGCTTTAGGAAGAAAAAACAAGGCGCATCACGGGTAGGTAAGAGTTATAAAAGCGGATCATGGTACAGCGCTGTTAAATTGATAAATTCACAAGTGTTTACTTTAAGACAAGCAGTAACTCCAGTGATTTCGTTGGGTCATACCTACATCAACTTCTTCCAAAGATCCTTCATGAGTCATAACCATACATAATATATATTGTCGATCTTACAAAGTAAACATAAGTTGAAATCAAAAACTGATTTAAGCTCGACCACAATTAGAAACATGGAAGCACCGGTTTTATTCTAGTCAGGGGCTCATCCATGACCCCAAATTAACAGAAATCGAACAAAGGCTTAACTGAGCTCAGAGAACGAAACACCACAACAAAGGTTTGATTTCCAGACCACTAAGTCTGCACTCAGTAGTGTTTACTAGCTTCATAATGTATCTCTGGAGTACTGGCAAGAAGTCATGACCAGTGGAGTATATGACAGCTATCGGCCGTGCGTAATGGATGAAGATTGCGCAAGATCATTCACTGATTGTAGTTAGACAGTGAAACCATTGGAGGCCGACTCAGAGGTGGTCGAGTGTTCATACGCGAAACCGAAGGTCCTAGGTTTGAGTCCCGCATGCGCATTGTTGATAAATTCCATAACTAGAACGAAACAGATATTTTTTCACTGCTTACACAATTCCAATTAGTGAGTGATCTAACTGAAGTCACAGTTGATGATTTCACTCACGACAATACTACAATCTGCACAAATTTCCCATTGTGTATACACATAAATTAAACATTGTTGGATTAAAAGCACAAATAGGTATAAGACAATGAATAATTACCAGAATACGTTTTTTCACGTCATCCATGCCATAATGATCTTCATCGAGAATTTTTCTTGCTTGTGCAATATCTAAATGTTCTTCACTTGTCACACCCCAAGGTAATGCAGTTAACCAATCTAAGTAATTACGTGTTACACTGAAGTGGGGAAAAATGGAAAAAAGCAGAGTAATAACATCGTACAAAGTATACAGGCAGAGAGAAGCGGAAAATTGAATAAACACCCGTTGGAATTTAGAAAGTAAGCAAGCAAGCAGGAGGTGGTTCGATTCTATTCGAGACTTGTTTCCAGTGAAATGTATTTGAAAGACACATGTCAGAGTTGATGTTCACACTCTATTGATCGAAATGAAAGATAGAATTTACTACATAAATTACCGATGGTGATTATCAATGGATGAAACCACAAACGATCACGATTAATAGTTCGTAGACTACCTGGTTAGGTTCCGCGAGACGATAGTACCCGACCTTGAAGGACATGGCTCAAAACCGTTTTTAATGGCACAGTTGCATCCATTCTTTGTATTCTCTCAAATTCTAACCTTCTGAATTCCTCACCACCTTAATATTTTTCTTTTTAAGTTTAATTCAATAGATTCTATTTCTTGAATAACATCTTCGAACCTTAATCTTCTCCATTCCCGACCGTAGCTGGTGGTCAGGCCTACCTGTCGTGATGAACCAACTGAACTATATTGGCTGGAACATATGTTCCTGAAGGTTCTACAATGCCAGGCAAGTCGATTGGAGAACGATGAGACTAAAAGCAGCTAATCAAGACCTGAGGGCGAAGTCGTACTGCTGACTGTAGAGGGGTGTGACAGCTGCAAGGTGTTTCTCTCGGACAACTAGCATCTGCATCGATGCTGCCTTCTCACAAGGAAGGAAGGGTTAGAAAAGGTCGACTCTAAATATGTCACACCTCACCTTACCTCATGGATTTCCGTCTCCGGCGGTAAGGGCTGCCTAATAAGGGCTTTGAATAGAGCGGAGCTAATACTCAAACAACCTTAAATAAAAAGGCTGTGCGTGACCGGCGTCAATCAGTTGTCCCTTGGGCTCTGCGGTCACGCTCATAGGTCCCTAATCTACCTTTCTTTTCAGGTCCCTCAAGGAACACCCTTCCACGGTATGGGAAGCCAGGAAGTAACATCCGCCCTAATACCCGTACCAGCACGCGAGACCAAATCAGTCAAAATCAAATCCTTCCTACACCTCCCAACATCTCGCTTATCTCCATGACTAACTATATTCACATTCCTTTATCACCCCGCACCACTAATGCAAACGATGCAAGAATCTTCTCCATTATCGCTAATATTTCCACTACCTCTACTACTATGGGTTTTGAATTGACAGTTTGATTTCTGTGTGTTAATGTGGTATGACAACCTGAACTGATGTACGTACGTACGTACGAAGTTCTACGTTGTAACTGACTGACTGATATTTCGTATAAGTTAGTCTGGTTGTAACATAGAACTTGGCACGTATAGTACACCAGTTCAAGTTGCCATATCATATTAACACAGAGAGATGAACTGATCAAACCAAATCATAGAGTAGTAGAGGTAGTGAAAATACTAGTGGTAATGGAAAATATAAGGAGTCGAAGATGTGATTCAAGAAGTATATCCCGGTGAAATAGGTCTACAAAGAGAAGACGCCTCATGAGGAATTCAGAAGCTTAGAATTTCGGAATGACACGAGGAATGGATATATATATGTGTTCCATTGAAAACGATTTTCAGCCATGGTATTAAAAGTTCCTAACCAACTGGTTACGATTATTAACCGAACTCTAACTCTTCGTCTTCATTGGGTAACAGCCTACTACATCCGAACAGGGTTGAACTCCACTGGTCATCACTTCACACTAGATCTCGAAAAAAAAAACTCACAAAGCTAATAAGCACTAGTGAACACAAGATAATTGTCAGTCTGGAAGAACAGGTTGTGCACATTACTGGATTTCATCGAAACCATAATTATGTATGAATGCACACCGCTGATAAGTTGTCCACCAAGACAAGGGACAAAACAACGGTACAATACTTTCCAGTTAGTCAATAGACAGACAGATACAACGCAGAACTTCGTACATAAGTACATCAATTCAGGTTGCCATACCACATCAGCACAGAGATGCAACTGTCAGTTCAAATCCAAGAGTGATAGCGATAGTAGAAGTATTAGCAGTAATGGAGAAGATTAGGGAGCGAAGATATAGTTCGAGAAGTATAATTCAGTGAGATAAATTTATAAGGAGAAAGGTAGAGATTATGAGGAATTCAGAAGGTTAGAATTAGAGAGAACACAAAGAGTGGATGCATCTGAGCCATTGCAAACGATTCTGAGCCATGCCGTTCAAGGTCTCTAACCATTGGTGACTATCGTCTAGCGGACCCTAACCAGGTAGTAGCCTACATTTACCAACATGACTCAGTCCACTTGTCAGTCCAGTTAGTCAATACATTATTATTTCAATAAAACTTAATAATCTTGATCGTTATTTGATAGTGACAATTTTGTTACAGTATTAAGGTTGACTGTATGTAATGTTTTGCGTTCAAATCGATATAGAAACAAACTTTGATGATAATCATTGTTGTAACTGATAATGAACTTATAAACTATGAAATAATCGTTTTGTTACACTATATTTGACTAAGAATTTTTGGAGGGAATTTTGAAATTGTCGCTTTATTTACTTGATGATTGTTATTTATTTTTTTTCATTGATCGACTTTATTTATTCACTAATTCGAATGTGAAGTTGATGCATGCAACCAACTATGATGCAGTTGTTGTTGTTATCAAATTTAGGGATAGTTCAAGTTTTTATTATTAAAATGCCCTCCGAGCAAAGTCCTACGGACACTGCCACTCTGGGTCTTACATTTATATATACCAGGTTTGTTTATGTACGAAGTTTATCTAGCGGAGGGTGAAGGACGGTCTGGAAACTCTGATTTCAGACTAGTGATGTATATGAATTTTACTAAGGTTCTGACATATAAATCCACATCGTTAGTTAGTTACAAAAAGATGACATTCTTCATGTCGATACCATGATTCATGAATAAAACTTATAACTTGGGATGATCGGTTAGTGTTGGTTTTAAGAAAATAAATTTGTTTAATTTAAGCATCCAAGTAGTGTCATATTTCTTAAATAATCAACCAATGATACAAAGTGTTACGCATGCACGTAAACATGTCATTTGAGATGCTTGAATTATTATTACGAGTTCACCTTAGTGGGAAAACGAGAGTGAGGATCGAGGATCTGACGACACAACATACTACTCTAATCCGAGTGTCCCAACCCATATTAAGTGAAAGAAGACTTGATGTGAAGTAGAATCTGTATTCTACAAGCAACCAGAAAGTACGAGATCCGAGTCCAGACGAAGCGAAGTGACCCTGACTAAGGATTCGGGTCCGGGTCATAAAACGTTACACATAATGCGTATTTATACATTTAGGTAGCATATAAAACAACATTGAAGTCTGTGACATTGACAGTTAAGACGACCAATAGGAAACAACATTTGACGTGACATTAACAGTCAGGACGACCAATAAGAAACAACAATGAAGTACATGACATTGATATCTAGGTTACCCGTAAAATTGACCAGTAGGAATTAACTAATAGGAATCGACCAATAATTCTCTTAGGATATTGGATGAATATCCTAACACAAAGTCGTTTGATGAAATACATATTCTACACCAATAGTCAATCAGTCCGTTACGACGTAGAACTTGATCCGTACCTACATACATACATCAATCACTTCAAGTTGACGTATACCAAATTTTCTATCAAGTTTATTGAAATGAATCTCATGACGACAAGTTTTCTTAATTGTATCGAACGTTGGCAACGATCGCTAATTACTCGGATAAAATAGCATCAAAATAAGCTTCTGATTGACATGGCAAAGCAGATGTATGTTCTTCGTTCAAGATTAGATGAAAGGGTATTGGTGAATGCATGCGATTCGTCGAAATTTGTCTCACATTCTATCTGAAACAAATGAATCTCTACTTATCCATGAACATATGTGCATTCTTTGTGTTTTCAAGCATGTGTCTATCAGACAATCGGCTAACATAATAATGCCACCACCTTCAATGAAATTGCATTGATCTATTCCACTGAATTATTGAGTTGTATGAGTTTCTTACATTTAAAAAAAATAGCCGAACAGAAAGTTGCCAATGAACAAAATATTAAAAAAAATAAACCAGTTACTCACTTGAATTCAGAAGCATGATTATCTAAAACGCTTAATTTATTCAATTCTTCCTCGATCACTTCCATAACACTAGGTGGAACAGTTAAATCCTGGAAGAAGAAATACACACACACAAACAAAAAGAGAACAGATCAACCGAGTTGAGAATGTGTGCGAGTGTGTGTGTGTGTGGGTGAATGCATTTCTACCATTGACAGTGATATAAGTGGAGTAATGAAGAATTTGGTATATATCTCAGTTAGTCAGTTAGTTACAACGTAGGACTTCATACGTACGTACACCAGTTCAAGTTGCCATACCACATTAGCACACAGAGAAGCAATTGTCAATTCAAATCTCATAGTGGTAGATGTATTAGCGATAAAGAAGAAGAGTAGGGTTCGATGATATCATTCAATAAGTAAAATTTAATGAAATGAAATTAAAAAGAGAAAGATGAAGTTGATTAGGAATTCAGAAGGTTAGAATTTGAGAGAACACAAAGAATGGATGCATCTGCACCATTGCAAACGATTTTGAGCCATGTCGTTCAAGGTCTCTAAGCATCGTTTACTATCATCTCGCGTACCCCAACCAGTTGGTCTACACCTAACAACATAACTAAGTCCAGTTGTCAGTGACTTCATGGATTTTTGCCATGTATTGGTTTGGCCGCATCCAACTTACTTCCAACCTAATCCTACACCACAAAACATATCTCGTCGAGGCAGTCGGTGGTTGGGCACACGTAACACATGTCTCAACCACGTTTCAATACTTCATCAATTGATCTGCGGTCCTTTCTTAACACCAGCATTGCGCTAAGCATACAACATGTAATCCATTCAACTACTGGGCTCAAATAAACAATGACGAATTTAAAATGTGATATATTCAAATAATGACAATTAAAATTTTGAATTATTCTACTAAAATACAACTGATGAATCTTAAAAAAGGATGAAACACAATTACTGAAAATGATGAACAGATCAATGTTAGACCACTATTAGAAACCTGGAAGCACTGGACGGCCGTTTCATCCCAGCATTGAACTCATCAGCAATACACATCCACGATTCCAATAAAACTCAGCAATCTGCACAACTATGCAATGAAAATCATCATGTACTCTCTAGTGACTAGTTCCGAAAGGAAGTTTCTTTAAGTCTAGTTGAGCAGTGACCATTAAAGTTCAACTCCATCGTGTCTGAAGCACTGCTTCCCGAAGACAGTGAATGAAAGTTGTACAACTGCATGGATTGGTTGAAGTTAGACATGTACACCACTCGGTTCCTGCTCAGAGGTCTACACGTTAACTGTTCGTATGCCTGTACGTGAATAAGAGAGTTGTAGATGCTTACCGCTGATCAGGTCAGCGCTACAACAAAACATAGCCATTCAACACGTCCAGATATTTCTACTGGTGCTCTAGTCTAACATGAAGTCGATTACGATTCAGTTAAACTTACTTTTAAACGTAAACGAAATTTTTCCACAATAGCATCTTTATCATCTTTTTCTAAACCTAATTCTTTTTTAATAATTTTCAATTGTTCCGATAACATATAACGACGATGTTGTTGTTTAACTTTTTCTTCAACTTCACGACCAATTTGTTGTTGCAGCCGACCTAATTCATATTCTTTTTTAATTAAATTCAATGATAAACGTAAACGTTTATGAATATTCATCTCTTCTAAAACAGCTTGTAATTCTTCTGTATCACTTGCACTACTCATTGCAGCTCCTTTTTAATTGAATAAGAGAGAGAGAGAGAATGGAGAAAAAGACGATAGGTAAGTGAAAAAATATAACGGGAAAAATTATGCAAAAGTATTGTGGAGAATGTTAAATTTGACGCTTCATATCTGTTACGAATGCACGTCAATATGTCAATTTGATAAGCTTGAACTATTACGAGTTCACCTTAGTCAGTAAACGAGAGACAAGATCGAGGATCCGGTGACACAACATGCTAGTCTAATCAGATTGTCCCAAACCCTCATTGAGTAAAAGAAGAAGCCTTGATATGGAGTAGAAAGTGTAGTCTACAAACATCCAGAAAGTACGGGATCCGAGTTCACAAGAGCATAAGTATCCCGGACTAAGGATAAGGGTTGTAAAACGTTACAGATAATGCATATTTATACATTTAGGTCGAGTGGGAAACAACATCGATAGTTAGGACGGCCAATAGAATTCGACTTACAAATAATTCTCTTAGGATATTTGATGAATATCTTAAAAATATAATACACTAACTTGGTTTCGACAACAACTACTTAGACGGGTTATGTTTAGTGAAGCATAAAGTCGTCATCAAACAGGATTTATCAATTTACTTTGCTTTGAGTTATCATTTACAATTATTCCTGAGTGCTACTCATTCTTCTAATGTCTTAATCCAATTCCAAGCACAAGGTGCTTTTTAGTCTGCCTCTTCCTCTTTCTTTTTGCATTGAAGATTAGGAATAAGAGTTAACCTAGTCGAATAGTTTGATGATTTCCGTTGATTGTGTGTTCTATCCCACCTTCAGGATTTTTTTCTCAGCTAGAAGCTCGTTTATTTTCCGCCAACCGGAATAATCTACGAAGAATCCTCAATAAGTCATAACCACGAACCCGGGTTAAACCCATGACCTTTAGGCTTAAAGGATAGGTTAACCTTTAGATTCATTAGTTCATAACTGATGGTTTACATTTCTAAATTCAATCAGTTAGAGATATAATAACCAAAGTCAGTTAGTTTTGTGAAAGCAGTAATCATGTGTGCAGTGGAAAAGAAGGAAGAATATTGTCTTTGGGATGTACCGCTGGTCTCAAAAACCACGACAGACAAAGATTATAAAATTATATTTTGTTGAGATTAGCATGCGTAAAACTGCTTCAAATCACCCCTAATCTATGCCAGCACACTTGTCGCATGTTCGTCTCTGTTGTGAAAAACATCTACGCAAGTATTTTTAGAAAGTCAGGATGAATAGATGGTTTATCGTCTCATGTTTTCTTCTTTTCAATGCACACCAGTAGCAACTCATTCTCTGAAAGAGCATTTTACAATTCAGAAATAAAAACAGACTACTTCAATGGGCAGGACAGGGTAAACTAGAGTGGGAAGTAAATTGAGAGTCTAAAAAACACATACAGACAATCGTGGAGAAAATAATTAGTCAATAGATTTGTGCACGTGAACTCGTATAAACATAGCCATCAAACTACAAGCGATCAAACCTCACTAACTGTTGAGAATATTTGAATCTTTCATCATAGAGTTATAGAGATTGTTGAGCTACTTTCTGAATTCATGAATCAATCATTGCAGTATCACCACTATTAGATACCTTGAAACATTGAAAGAAGACCGTTTCGTCCTGGTGTGGGACTCATCAGTAACAGTGCGCATGCCCCGACTCCCGCTACTCGCAGGACTCGAACCCAGAACCTTAGGTCATGCGCGGGAAAGCATAACCGCATACTAGGACGAAACGGTCATCATCCAGTGCTTCTAGGTTTCGAATGGTGGTCTAACAATGATTGATTTATGAATTTAGTAATACTTGAATCCTTTCAAAATCTGCACATTCATTGACTACAATATAAGGATTTGAACACAGATTTTTACTATCACAAGTTGAAATTTCTTACATGTAACCGAAGTTTCTCATTGTTTACTTCATTTTAATTGGTTGTTTGAGTTTACGACTATAACTTATCAACCTTGTTTGGCATTTGTGTGTGTGTATTCTGTGCGAATCGAGCTTCGATATTCGATATTCAGTTATGAGCACTGCAAAATGAATTAAACTTCATCAACCCATTGCACAAACTAGTAGATATTGTGAAAAGAGTAGGTAGGTAGCTGGATAACATCATATAGCCTTTGGAGCAAACAGAGCTCGATTCAAGCCTCAAAATGAACATCAACTATAGAATGTCAGATACATTCAGTTGTAGAGTGACAGATAAGACGAACGGTACATTCTGATTCCCACTACCAGCCACTATGCGCATCTTAATATTTAGGCGGCTTGCTTTAATATCTGGGCCATCTGCTTCCCAGTATCAAAAAATTTCAACAATTTACCTCTTCCTGTTTGTTTCCATGAATTAATTGTGAATATAATTATCGCATGATCTACTCAGGCGCGTATAAAAACTTTTTTTGTGAGATATCGTTACAGTAGGTACAGAAAAATATAATCCGAAGTGTCTCAGTGGCTAGCAAATTGTTGGGAAATGAATGCACATGATTAACTTGTTGATACTCGAACTGCTTACTTCTAAATACCAATCACTAATTCTATTGTAAAGAAAACCGGTTGCATTATTCTGTGTGCTGAGAGTTTCGAATATTGTGCTAAGCATATAATATTGAATAAAATCACTGTTATTATATATCAAAGTTTAAATCTATACAGAAGTATTTTTTAACTATAAGAATAATGTAACAATAGAATGAAGTATGTTTCGTCCAATTTGGCGCTCGTCAGCTGAATACACTGGCATTTCAGAGTTGCTATTTAATTTTTGCGGCTCGAACCCAGTATTATTTCTAGTTCAGTTGAAATATGAAATGTTGAAGTATATAGATAGATGAATACTGAAATATTTTGGATATATATTATACTCACCTAAATCGCTGAGGTATACAGGATTATCAGCGACACGTTGTCCAGCATGAAGCATTGCAAGCACACTTTCTCTGTAATAAACGAGAATAAAAAAATAATATTTGCAAAACTGAATAACTAACATGAAAATTTTCAATGTAAACGTTGGAATACGGTGTGAAATTGGTACATTGTGATTATACTACTACTACTTGTGAGTAGTTAATTGTTTTCTGTTACAAACGTGAAGTTATTTAGGGAAACAGAAATATATGACATCATAATTATTACACTAAGAATAGAGTTTAGGAAATGAATTTTAGACGGCTTGCATTCTGGCTGATATAAGTTTGTGATGAAAACTTATTATGATGTGTGTGGTGTCCTAAATCTGAATGCAATTCACGCTAACAGCCCTGCCCCAATATGACTACTTGCGAGAGAGAGAGAGAAGGCGTGAGCTGAAGCGAAAGCCTATTTGGCTACTGATCATTTCGTTTAGAAAATGAATCCATTTCTTGACCATGAATATACATTTGTCCTTTATGAACATTACTTATGAATATCGAATGACCTTCTCTCGTTCAGCCACTAAGGATTTGTGGTGCGCGCTACTTATATGTAGTATATGACGCGAGTAAAAACGTAATGTCTGGCAGCAGAAGATGGGGGAAGATCAAGAACGGAAGAGTGGGAACACAATGGAATTTGTATGAAACGCATGAATAGTGAAATGTCAGACAATCGAGTGATGATGGATTGAAGATTTGCAAATTAACGGTTACGATATGGTTTTCCTATTTTACTGAGTAACTCTGTAATTTTCGTTAAATACAATTCGGTTGCCCTCACCTGTGTTCTCCTTCACTACAGATTGACTCCTATATATTTCAAATCTTAACGTCAAATCGCCAACACAAAGTTCTAAGCCAATTTTGATATTTTAACCATGAATTCAGATGTAGGATTTCTTACTTGTTATTAGTTCTGATGTATACTTTATAGTAATCCTACACTAACATAATATCTGGGTGGCCAGACCAAAACATGGCACAAATCCATGAAGTCACTGAAAAGTGGACTGAGTCATGTTAGTAAGCGTAGACTACCTGGTTGGTGACGCGAGTTGACAGTAACCGATGGTTAGAGACCTTGGACGATATGGCTCAAAATCGTTTACAACGGCGTAGATGTCTCCAGTCCTTATGTTCTAATCTTTTGAATTTCTCACCACCTTTATCGTTCTCTTTTTAAATTTATCTCACTAGATTACACTCCCCGAATGATTCCTTCGACCCCTAATCTTCTTCGTTACTACTAATACTTCTACTACCGTAACCACTATGGGATTGAAATTGATATTCCTATTGCTGTACTAGCTAATGTGATATGACAACTTGAACTGATGTATACGCAAGTACGAAGTTCTGCGTTGTAACTGACAGACAGACTGACTGAATGCCATTTTTAATGATATCTTCTCAGTTAAATTAACTATACTCCATCTGATTACCACATCATTGGTTTGATACAACGATTGTGAATCTGTATTATTTTCACACTTGTACACAGCTATGAGCATAGACTATTGGTGTATTTCTCTCTCTCTCACACACACACCCAATCTTGGAATAATATGAGAGCATAGTCTTCAACGAATTTATGGTGAATTACATTTATCGACGGAATCAAAACCAATTGTGTTCAACTGACTTCAACAAATTTGTCATATGATTCATGTGTACAATTGTTTTACTTGATAAGAATCTAATAAGCCAATGTCCCCTTTAACAATAAAAGAATTGATTTTGGTGGTCAGTGTAAGATCCATTTTCTTGAAGGTTTTGTTTGTGAAAATCCCTCTCCATGTATACATTTGTAATTTGTCCTTATTGATTCTTTCAGTTGTGCATATTGTTATTCGGTTCGATTCCAATCTGAGATGATAATATTTGTATTTTATTATAGTTTCTACTTCTTCTGCCTTCATTAATTTTCTATGTTTCTTTCTGAACTGCATTTATATTGTTTAAACTGATACTTAGTTATGGCGACAGCCATTTTGATTTGTTCCTCTTTTGATTGCATTGCTTGCCTTGACTGGAATTGTGCATCTTGATTGGGAATTGAAGCATCCTTCCAGAATTGGAAACATTGTGTTATAAAGCAACCAAATATTATCTGTCGAACGAATCTGATCTATCCAGGAGGGATAGAATATCAGTTATTTGATTTGATTAACTGAACAATTGTTGGTGGAATAACTGAGTGGTAATATTTGTTTAGGTAATGATGTATATCTATATTTATGATGAATATTAGAACCGTCATTTACCCAATCAATTTGTTTTGGTTTTAAACTGGGCAAGGCGAGTATCTAAATTACCTAGACAGTGATTCCTCAGTCCAAAACTCAGTTTAAATCCTACGGTTAGGGTAAAATATGTTGAAAAAACGAAAAAACAAGAGAAATATATAGAACTGTATTTACAAACCAACTTACCTATATACAGGATTAAGGCTAATGATATCACGTATGGTTTTTACAATTTCCGCGGTTAACGCCTAAATTAATTCAATGTTTGAAAAAAGAAATAATTGAACATTGATCAATGAACACAGACACAGACACACACAAACAAACAAAGTGGATAGTTTTGTTTAAACAACAATCATCATAATCAGATGAATCATGGAAAAAATAATTCAGACAAAAGAATAAATTAAATGAAAATATATAAAATGCTTGTTAAGAAAAAAGTACACTGTATTATTGATGAAATCGAAATACCGCACACAAAACACAGATATCCGCCATCTTTTTTTCACTAACATATCTGATCATTAGAGTTGTAGGTTTTAGTTTTCAATCAATACGACTGTTCTTTGTTTCATTGCACGTAGGTATGTAAGTCATAAGCTGACTGCTAGTTTTTTATTTGGCATTTGCCTTAACATGTTATTAAATGAGTTGATGTAGGAGAAATACAATGGATGACAAGTGTAAATCGACAAGTCATCAGTGAAGCTAGTAGTTAAAGATGGTAACTTCCTTTGATATATCATCACAAATCTGAACAAACATATTTTGTGAGAGCATCGTATCCCTTAAATTGGTTTTTTTCATAGAGGCGAACTTAGTATATGCGGAGACGTAAATCAAATACAATCAGTCAGAGTCAGATGCAACGTAGAACTTTGTACGTAAGTACATCAGTTCATGTGGTATGGCTAGATGAACTGATGTACAATCAAATACAGAGATGTCGGACACAATGTCAGAAATCAAGTTTTATGGGTATCACAGAGGAGAGCCAATCAGAAGGCCATTTAATGACCGAAGGATGAACAAATATAACTGGTTAAAAATGTGTTCATTTTCTTCGGGAGTAGAATATATATATATATATATATATATATATATACAGAGAGAGAGAGAGAAGAGTATTCTAACATAAGAATCGGTAGTTCTTGTATTTTATCTTAAGTAGCCAGTTTTTTCTGAGGTGAAGTTAGCACTTATCGCGTCCAGGTGTCGGGCACAGTACATCATACCACTACGCATACGGCTGGTTCAGCCAACCCCCTGTACACCGATTTTTTAGAATGCACGACTATTGTGACAGCCAGTTATGATGATTTTGATGAAGATACTCCATGCCAGCATTCATTAAACATAAATTAACTTTGTAGGCTAAATTAACAACAAAAATAGTAAAAATTACCCTGACATATTAACATCTAATCTTAGTATTGTTCACTTAATAATTTCATCTTGTGATGGAGTTCCGTTCTAGAAACTGGATATTTTCGGTTGTGAAGCTTTCATTGTTCTTCTGAACAAAACATCATCATCATCAGCAGCACAAACTTCAGAAAGAAGAAATGCATAATTCGAATTCGTTGTTTGAAAGCAACGACAAGTTTCACGGTCAATAACAACCAATCAACATCGAGGTCAACAGAACAAGCTACAGGTTAAACGTGGAGAAATTAGGGTACTTCACTTCTTTATTTGAAGTTTGTACTCATTATGTTGTTCAGAGGAAGAACAAATGATGAACGATCCACAACCAAAACATCCAGCTCAGATAACAAAACTCCACCTGAATCATCCACCTGTGTTACAGATTTCACCTTACATGAGTTACAGTGCTTTGAAGATATCCATGATTAGACACTACTAATTTACTTCTACGCATATGCTCAATAATTGAAGACCTTGGAAATTGATTGTTTGTTTTTGAAAAAAAAGAAACGAGACATTCTCTAATGATCCCCATTTAAATCTTTAAAGAGCGCGCATACAGTTGAATATTAACATTTTGCTTTGCATAAGCTCTAAAAATTACCAAATGATTTGTTACACATGAATGTAAACATGTCAATTTGATATGCTTGAATTATTATTACGAGTTTAGCTTAGTCGGAAAACGAGAGCGAGGATCGAGGATCCAGCGAAACGACATGCTACTCTAATCCGAGTGTCCCAACTCACATTGAGTGAAAGAAGAAGACTTGATATGAAGTGGAACATGTATTCTACACGCATCCAGAAAGTACGAGATCCGAGTCCAGACGAAGCGAAGTGACCCTGACTAAGGATCCGGGTCCGGGTCATAAAACGTTACAGATAATGCGTATTTATACATTTAGGTAGCATATGAAACAACATTGAAGTCTGTGACATTGACAGTTAAGACGACCAATAAGAAACAACAATGAAGTACGTGTCAATGATATCTAGTACGACCATAAAATTGACCCGTAGGAATTCTCTTAGGATTTCAGATGAATATCCTAACACAATTGCTGGTTAGTGGTCTATGCTCCACAAGAGGTAGATAGTACTAGGCTTAAATAAGTAACTCATAAAACCACTTATATAACAACGAGTAATAATCATAGTCAACAAACTGGTGAAATATTTTCAGCATTGCATTGTTGGCATTGAACCACAATTAACTATTTTCCCTCATTGGAGTTTGATCACAAACTATTTATCCTAGGATATAAGTTTACGTGAGATTGTCGAGTTGATCTAGTTGCATATCCAGTTTTTTTTGGGGGTGAAACACAAAGCAAATGTATATATGAATTACTGACAACAACAACAACAACAACAACAACGGAAATAGAGAATTGCAAATTGACAGTCATTTAATAAACATTACTTTAATTTCTTGTGTATTTTCATAAAGATCATGATAGAGATTGATTGTTTCACCAAGTAGAACTGGTGACGAAATACCAGTGTCAATGTTAGCTGAATTAGTAGTAGTAGTCGACGGCTTAGGACTAGTACTACTAGTACTACCGCTGATGATGTTGTCGACTTGATCTTCATCTTTGACAAATGTTGCATTTTCAGCAATAGAAGACGCTGATGGCGATGGGGTTTGATCATTCGATGATGTTTTCGAATTTAACGATTCTGTGATCTTAGCAGCTGCACGTTTAGCTCGTCGGACTAAACTATTCCGTTTTCCGATTACTTGATATTACGTATGGATAAGGGAAAAAAATATATAAATATATCAGTAGTAGATTAAGATGAAACATGAAAAAAAACCCAGCTTACGATGATAATTCTTAATAAATAGTTATTAGGTAATCAATAATCTTATGCGTGAACTATACTGATTACAACTTCTTAGAACTCTGGCGAAAGTCACTGAAAACTAGACTGAGCCATATTAATAGTAAGTATAGACTGTCTGAGTGGTTGGGGCCTGTGAGACAATAGCAATCGATAGTTAGCGACTTTGAATGATATGGCTGAAAATCGTTTGCAATAGTGTCAGTGCGTACATTTCTTGACTTCTCTTTAAGATTCTAAACTTCTGAATTCCTCATGACTTTCATCTTTCTCTGTTTGGAAATTTATTTCACTGGATTACACTTTTCGAATCATATTTACAATCGATAATCTTTTCGGTTCCGTCTAATACTGCTGCTACCTCTACTACTCTTGAATTCGCTCTGACAATTTTATCTCTCTGTGTTAATTTGCTATGGAAGTTTGAACTGATGTACGTACGTACGAACGTACATCAGTTCAAACTGACTAACTGAGTTACTTCTAAACATCGGACAAATTTTAAGCAGAGGAAGTTATGAGGATTGTTGAATTTTACTTTTACACAATAGATTGACCTCACAATTAGGCAATCATTAGTAATCAGATAAACATGAATGGTTGTTAGATAACATTATGCAACTTCCAACCGAGATGAACGTCTAAGTCGAGCTTAAGAAGTTCTTACCAGCACAGAGCCTTTAGACAACTGACTTGTCTCGCAGCGGTTTACATTTCTAGCTTAAATCAATCTCCAGTATTGAGCTAATATCGTCCATTATCATCAGTGATATTTTTCTCAAGCTTGATACGGTTAAGAAGTTGTAACCGGTACGGTCCAGCCAGACGAATATAATCAATAACAATTTCATATTGTTCCAATCTTTAATGCTAATCAACTTCTATCAACCTAGTGAGCGAAGTGGCCTCTAATTACCGGAAAAAATAAAATCACACACATTAATATATCCGGTCAAATACTATGACTAGTTGTCAACGTTTACAAAGATTTTGGTTATTTGAACTTACTATGCATTTCCATTACAAGCAACTAATCATGCTGCATATGATCCATTTCACGATCAATTTTTGTGATTACAGCCTTTTTTTAAAGAGTACTATCTGCAGATATTCGGTTATTAAAATCAAAATCAGCAAATCGAGACAAGAGATCTAATGCTTAAATGTCTACTGTTTTCATTTCTCCCTATTTAGTTTATTTTTATGTTGGTAGTGTTATACTACTTACTAGTATTTAGTAACTCATATTATTGTCCGTTATTTTCATGCATATGACGTTCAATGTCTCAATTGGAATATTTTTAATAGTTACCTATTATCGTATTCAATTATCAATTTAAATAAATCATTGCGTATTTATTGAAAATTTGATTATTTGTAACAATCAACTTAATTTATATGCATAGTTTGTCTTAGGATTAAATAGTTCGGGTTTATTGAATTGACACAACTCCTGTTTACTACTAACTGTGATTGGATTTCGATGCATGCAAAATGTTGAAAACATCTTACGATTTCATGTGTATCGAATGTGATTAGTTATATAATCATCATTATATAATAATGGTGTCCAGTATTGTAAGAAAACATTTGTTGTGCTTAATTTGGGATTTTTCTGAAGTTACTCAGTTGTTCAATTTGAATATTTAAGCAGATTTAACAATACTACTTACTACTACTACTAATTGAGTTCATTGAAGTAGTTAGTTTTATATTATGCTCACGATAAGGCAATAAAAGTTTCCATAACTCATTTGATGGAAACAAAATAGTAGCAATGATCAAAAAAAAAAATACGAAAACTAATCCTTCAGAAAATGATTTGAATGAACCGAGTGAACACACGAGGAAGATAAGCAGTGAATAAAGGATGATGAGTTCAAGACAACGATAGAAACAGTTGAACTAATTCATTAATCTGGAATATGTGATACAGAATACTAACCTGGTGTGCTAACTTCCTCTTCAACAGAATCCTCGGGAACAGGACGAATTAGTTCAATACTAAAATATATAATATAAACGTGTGTGTGTGTGTATATAAGGAAAAGAACTCACTGAATTAATTTACAAAATTTTTAATAAAAAGATCACTGCAGAAGACATTTTTCCATTACGGGGTTGTGAAGATTATTAAGTTACACATTTGAAATCATGAATCGATCAAAATTAGACTACCACCATTAGAAACTTTGAAACACTGAAAGAAGGCCGTCTCGTCCTGGTATGGGACTCATCAGTAACAGTGCGCATCCACGACTTCTACATCTCACAGTATTCGAACCCAGGACCATGAGTGGACCAATCACAAATCGAAGATGAAAATACAAGAAATTTGAAGTGAAGCGATTAATAAATTATCTGTTATTTGACGGGATACTCATCAAATATCCTAAGAGAATTATTTGCGTAAGTCTAGTTCTATTGGTAGATTCCTACTAGTCAATATGATGGTCTTCCTAACTATCAATGTCCCGTACTTCAATGTTGTTTCCCATTGGTTGTCCTGGCTATCAATGTCACTTCAAATGTTGTTTTCTATTGGTTGTCCCAGTTGTATAAATACGCAGTATCTGTAACGTTTTATGACCTGGAACCGGACCCGGATTCTTAATCCGGGATCCTGATTCTCTTCTGGACTCGGACGTCGTACTTTTTGGATGCTTGTAGAATACAGGTTCTACTTCGTATCAAATCTTCTTCTTTCATTCAATGGGGGGAAAGGTTTAGGACAATCGGATTAGAGTAGCATGTCGTGTCGCTGGATCCTCGATCCTTGCTCTCATTTTCTGACTAAGGTAAACTCGTAATAGTTCAAGCACATCAAATTGACATGTTTACGTGTATTCGTAACATTATTATATTTATGAAAGACAAAGTGGTAATATATATATAGATGATCTACAAACTACTTGAAATCAGCAGAAATTTCTATTTGGAAACCAAAAAGTGAATGTGAGATGGTGATTAGTTTAAATTGCAAAACATAATTTCTCTTGAGAAAAATTATGTGTTAAAGTACTTGTCGAGAGTGTTTGGTGAAGTGAGATAAAGTTCTCCCTTTCCAATTCTTACCCTGAATCTCATCTTGAATTTGTAAACAGTAGAATGACAAAACGTTTTTAGCGAGTTAGTTTTCTACGGGATGGTGTTGCTAATCCTAATCCCAACCCTCGTCCTTTATCCAGGCTTGGGACCGGCAGTCGCCCCAGAGGGGTTCCAGGTTTGTGTATAGGATTCCTTAGCCGCTAAACTTCGAGATCAACAGGTTGGATTCCGTAATGACCGATAATGTACCGACCAAATTGCAATATTACGGATCATTATGGGACAATCAGTTGAATGGGATTCACCACTCTACATCAACTCCATTGACAACGAGAAGGAATTCGACGTCACGGACAAGATGACACTACGGAGGCATCATCAAGACTTCGGCGTGCATAGGTTATTCAACATCATACGGAATTCTTAAAATGCGAAATCGTGCATGGAGGCCATCTCACAGACCCGTTCGAAGTAAAGACCGGTGTCAGGCAAGGTTGCTTACTCACACCCTTTCTCTTTCTCCTGGTGATCGACTGAATTATGAAGAAGGTAACATCTAAGGGGAAGCATGGTATAGAGTAGACAGCTAGGATGCATTTGGACGATATCTAAACTTCGCAGATTCAAGAAAAGATGACCAATGTAGCAGCAGTGGGTCTCAACAAACACAAAGGGAAAAGCAAGATTCTCCGATACAAAGCAACATGCACAAACGAAATTACATTTAGCGGAGAAGCTCTGGAAGATATGAAAACCTTTACATAACTTGACAGCATCATTGATGAGCACGGTGCATCTGATGCAGATGTGAAGGCGTCTATTGGCAAAGCAAGGATGGCATTTCTATAATTGGATAATATCTGGAACTCAACAAAACAACTGTCAACCAACATCAAAGTCACAATTTTCAATACAAATGTCAAGACAGTTCTACTGTACGAAGCGGAAACTTGGAGAACCACGAAAGCCATTATTAAGAAGATACAAATATTCATTCATTCCAGTAGTGGTAACAGACGTAAGTGGTAGAACGATAAAGCCTTGCATCATAGTTGATATCATTTCGTAGTAAAAACCCTGACCCTAATTTGAAAAGCTATAACCTATAACCTTTTAGCATCATAGCTGGTCTTAGTTAGCGACGATAACTCTGTAGGGTAATAGCTCTAACTTATAACACTAGCTCGATTTTTATTAGGTCAGCTTAATTCTTTTCTCCACCAATTACAAAGAAATAATTCAACAAATGAGAGTTGATTATTCATCAGATCAAAACTTTTATCCCACTATAATATTTTATGGTAATCAGCTTTCCATTGTTTTATAACTAGTAAGTATTTCCTGATTGACTGATAGGTGACTAAAGGTCATCAGCAGATGATACTTTTACCAACTTTAAAGTAAGAAAAAGAGTAACATTAAAGAAGACCATGTCAAAGGTTCATAGAACCTTATTTAACAAGAAAATTAAATTGAATACAATTGAGTCTAGTCACAAACACACAACCTTTTTGTGAGCGAAGTAGTAACTTTATATTTGTCAGACTTTTTATTTGGAATCACGAATGAATCCTTGTTAGACCACCTTTAGAAATCTTGAAGCACTGGACGGTCATTTCGTCCTGAGATTGCACTCAACAGTGGCAGTGCGCATCAACAACTTCTGCTACTCGCAGGATTCAAATCCAGGACCTTCGGTCAGGTGCGCGAACGCCTAACCTCTTTAATGTTTGGAGACGAAAATCTGTTGACCATTGTGTGATTTTTTTGTTATACTTACTTTATATCCTTTTTTTCAGTCGCCTCAGTCAATTATGAAAGAAAACCAGTTCACTAAACGTTTTATTTCTCTAAGCAGAATAACATATTGCCCACTAGGCACCAGTACAGTTAGTAGTATGACTTCACCGTTGGAATTTTGGTTTGCTAGTTTATAATCTTACTTACTAACTTACGTCTGTTACCCCTAATGGAACATAGGCCACACACCAGTTTTCTCCAACCAACTCTGTCCTGGGCTTCCCTCTCCAGTTCTGTCCAATGTTTGTTCATTCCTCTCATATCTTTCTCTATTTCTCGGCGCAATGTGTTTCTTGGCCTTCCTCTTTTCCTTTTGCCTTGAGGGTTCCATGTGAGGGCTTGCCTCGTGACGCAGTTAGGCGCTTTTCGTAGTGTGTGTCCTATTCACTTCCACCGCTTATTCCTGATTTTCTCCTGCACTGGAATCTGATTTGTTCTCTCCCACAGTACGTTGTTGCTGATCATGTCTGGCCAACGAATCCGAAGTATTTTGCGTAGACAAGTGTTAATGAATACTTGTATCTTCTGGATGATGGCTTTCGTAGTTCTACAAGTTTCCGCTCCATACAGTAGAACTGTCTTCACATTTGTATTGAAAATTCTGATTTTGGTGTTGATTGAAAGTTGTTTGGAGTTCCAGATATTTTTCAACTGTAGAAATGCAGTCCTTGCTTTGCCGATCCGTGCCCTCACATCTGCATCGGATTCATCTTGGTTGTCGATGATGCTGCCCAGATATGTAAAGGTGTTAACGTCCTCCAAGGCATCTCCATCAAGAGTGATTTGGTTGGTGCATGATGTGTTGCATCGTAGAATTTTGCTTTTTCCTTTATGTATGTTGAGACCTACTGCTACAGAGGCTGCTGCTACACTGATCGTCTTCTCTTGCATTTGTTGTTGCGTGTGCGATAGAAGAGCCAGGTCATCTGCGAAGTCCAGATCGTCCAGCTGCGTCTTAGCTGTCCACTGAATACCGTGCTTCCCTTCAGATGTCGATGTCTTCATAATCCAGTCGATCACCAGGAGAAAGAGGAAGGGTGAGAGTAAGCAACCTTGCCTGACACCGGTCTTCACCTCGAGTCACTTGGATCGAAAACAGTACGACTTTCTTAAAAAAAACAAATACTCTAGACAATCTAACTTAACTAAGTCATCACAACATTCACACTCAACAACAACATCAGAGTAAACAGCTATGAACTACTGAATGACATTTTACATTGGAGCTTGCTAATGTAGATGGTGATGACACATGTAACTGAATACTAGCGCTTAAATAATAGAAGATACTAGAAGACTACAGCTACATGCTGTATGTACATAAGTGTAATAAACACTGTACACAGATTTGAATGAAATAATAAACGAAACATATTAGTATTATCATATCTCCAATGAGCCTTTTCAAATGAATAAGGTATAATAATACTTGATTTGAACAACTATCACAACAGTTTACAATGTCCTGGTAAAACTGAGAGTGTGATGAGTTCTCTCTCGCTGGAAACGTTATCACAAGGCATTGACAGCCTCCTTGCAACGGGGGGAGGTTGTTTACAAAAATTCAGCGAATGAAAAGCGAATGTCTGACGAAAACTCAACCGGGTTATTGGGTACGGAACATCTACCTGGAGGAGTTGGAAAATCCACATTCCGAACCGATGGTCCTGATAGGACTTAGTGCTAGCTAACAGCTACCATGAGACTGCATCTACTGATGTTGTTTCACTTCTTTATGGAGTACACCTCTCTAGGTCAAACACCTAATAAAACCATCTGATACTGTTTAACCAGCCAGGGAGTATCTCACTACACCCACCAATTCAATAATTTATGTGACGCATAAATATTTCGGTGTACTACTTTTGTACTACTAATAATTATATGTTTGAATAAACAAAGAGAAAAACACTAACCGACGATGTCCGATGACAAGTAGTCGAATTTTCGAGCCTAAATCATCCCATTCAGGAATATGTACAAATGTTCCAACTCGATGCAATTCATCCATACTATTTGCAACATCGGATTGTCTGTAAAAAACAAAAAAGTATAAAAAATTGAAAAATCAATGAACACAAAGTAAACACTACGCGCAAATAATGCTAAGATAAATAGTTATAGTTAATGAAAGATCTATGGGTATGTTTGTGTTGTAACTATTGCTAGAATAATTCCCGGCTAATTCTTATTGCTTAGTATACTCTGACCACAATACACTGGACAAGTTCCAAAGAATCAAAAACACGGTGGAACAGGAAAAGATTATATTACAAATAGCAAGGTTAATGGAAATAAGAAGCCGAAGGAGAAGGCAAAATAGACATAACGTTAGTTTCTTTATAGTATTTACATGAGAAGCTTCTGGATAGTAATTCACGCGATCAACTGGATTAGATTTAGCCAATCAGTGTGCAGCTAACAACACGAGAATTTTCTACCCTGTTCTCCAAGAATCGATCAGGCGCTGATTAGATAAGAAATTAGCCAATCAGCGCGCAGCAACGTAGTTATGCTTTAATTCCATCTATGTCCCACTAGCAGTTTGACTTCAAGTCACATTTTAGATTTACGTGAGAGCTAATATGATACAGCGACAGTTTGCTCCGGTATTCTATATGCGTATGAAACTTGGCCAGTTAGAGCATTTGATCATAGGTGTCTTCAATGCATTGCTTGTATATCCTGAGACCACCGAGTAAGCAATGCTATTGTTAGGGAAAACCGTAGTACTAGATTAGGATGGCAGATGAAATATTGAAACTGCTTTGGCAAACGATGACGCTTGGTGTAGAGATAAGCTGAGAGAAAGCTAGGGGCGGCCTAATCAAAACATGATAGTAATCCGCCAAGTCACTAACAACTGGACTGAGCACTGTTGGTTAGTCAGTCAGTCAGTCGGATGCAACGTAGAACTTCGTAAGTAGGTACATCAGTTCATGTTGCCATACCACATTAGCACGGAGACGCAATTGTCAATTCAAATCCAATAGTGGTAGAGATAGTACGAATGTGGTGATAGAGAGGATTAGGGTTCCAAGATATTATTCAAGAAGTATAATTCAGTGAGAAAAGTTTAGAAAGACAAAAGTAGAGGTGTTGAAGGATTCAGAAGATTAGGAGTGGATGCACCTACACCATTCCAAACGATTTTCAGCCATGTCGTTCAAGGTCTCTAACCATCGGTTACTATCGTCTCGAGGACCCCAACCAGATAGCCTGCATCTACCAACATGACTCAGTCCACTTGTCACTAACTTAATGGATTTCTGCCACGTTTTGTTCTGGCCGCCCCTAACTTTCTTCCAACCTACTCCTACACCACAAAACATAGCTCGTCGAGGCAGTCGGTGGTTAGGCATTAGTAACACATGTCCCAACCACCTCAACTGATGAAGTTTCAATACTTCGTCTGTATCCATGCTGAGATTTCGTCAGTTAGCAGGCCATCAGCACTGTCGAGACTCCCGAGACAATAGTTACCAATGGTTAGAGACCTTGAATGATATGGCTCAAAATCGTTCGCAATGGATTATAAATTTCTTGAGTCACATCTTCGAACCTTAATCTTTACCATTACCGCTAAAACTACTACTACTACTATAGGATTTGAATTGTGCTAATGCCGTATGGCAACTTCAACTGATGTGCGTACATGAGTAAGTACGTATGAAGTTCTACATTGCCACTGACTGACTGATAATAGATCTAATCCTAAAAGATAAGATTGATAACTTTATAATAATTAATAGAGCTTAAGTATAGTTTCCGTGTTTTACATAACTAAAGTTGAAAATTGGGGAAAAAACACAAAATAAAACAAACCAATCATAACTTACTCGGTATTTGGTTTCTTTAAAAATATTCCAGCATATGGAGCATTCAATTTGATTTTTCGACGTATCAAGCTCACCAGACGTGGATCAGTGATCTTGATTAGAACACACACAAAAAAAATTAATTGGCAAAGTTATAAAGTTTGAAAATGATGTACACAAGGTGACTGACTGTGCACAAATATATTTGAATAATGTCCATAATCAGCTTAAACCAGGTTGATGGATACGGAAAATTCATTTAAATGGGAAGTTGGAAAATCATCATTCCGAGCTAATGGTCCACAGAAGCTCCTATGTCCTGATGGAAAGAATGGTGTATGAACTAGCTGTTGGTCAACGTCTACCATGGGACTGCTTTACGTGAAGTTGCTACATTAGACTTATATAGGTCAAACGCTCACGGTGTGGCCCCCTAAGATAATCACCACCTATTTCGGTTTGAGTACGAGACAATAACTCAGCCCAGATAAATTTCATGATCTGTGTAGTGGTGTAATAACATTTTTAGGTGTTAGGTGTCTGTTAATCAAAGGGTGTGTATACTATACAGATGTCCACTGTTTTACTTTATGGCTGCGAAATGTGGTAAATAACAGTAGAACAAATGTACGGGTTGAAGGTTATGATCATAGGTATCTTCAGAGCATTGCACATCTTGTAGTGCCTCCACATTTATTTGCATCCGCTTACATTTAATTTGCTTAAGCCCTTTCGATTAATTTATTTAACCAAGCCATTTCTATAGCAACAACTCATATGTACCATTGGTATTTTTTATTATCTGGTTTGCATGAGCTTATACGACTGAGCGTTACTTACGCTTACGCGCTTACTCATCCTTTCCGCTGTAATGTTAGTCTCTTAATTTTCCCATGGACTCACATGATTTGTATCGCTTGCATTTGACCTTGTCAATCATTCGTCGCTTTTATTCATGTCTGTGCATACCTATTTCACTTGTCATATGTCTGTCTTATTTATGCCCGACTATATATTCTTAGTCATACTCTATCTCAAAGAGTTGGCTCTTAGCCTTCTCCTATACGCTTCGCCCATTCGCTCGCGTTGTAATCCAAAGAGTTGGCTCTTGGCCTTCCCCAATTCGCTTCGCTCATTCGTTCGCATTGTAATCCAAAGAGTTGGCTCTTAGCCTTCCCCAATTCGCTTCGCTCATTCGTTCGCATTGTAATCCAAAGAGTTGGCTCTTAGCCTTCTCCTATTCGCTTCGCTCATTCGCTCGCATTGTAATCCAAAGAGTTGGCTCAACAGCCTTCTCCAATTCGCTTCTCCGCTTCGCTTTGTGGTGTGCCTCGAATAAACGTATTCATCAATACGAGTTTATCTTCTGATTTATAAACCGAGCTTAAGAACACGCAGTCAATCGGCTCACTACAATCTTGCGTAGAACGAGTGGGTGAACAATATGGAGGTTACACATAGATTACTCGGTAAATGTGGCAAAACCCTTGATGCGTCAGTGAATCTTCATCAACTGAGATGGTTAAAACATATGTTACGTATGTCTAACTGCTGCCTAATACAAGCGATGATGTTTGTTAGAGCAAGTCAGAATAAATCTGCGGGCGGCCAAACTAGAACGTGGCATCAGACCGTGAGGGGATCGACTATTGGTAGATGCAGATTGACTGGTTAGGGTATGTGAGGTAGTGTTATGATGACCAGTGGCTAGAAACTTTGGGTGACGTGGTTCAGAATCGTTCAAAATGGCGCAGAAGCATTCACTCTTCATCTTTTCATAAATACCTTCCCACTACGACCACTCGAACCATTTTCTCAATGTTTAGTCTTTCTTTTCATCATTGCTACTACAGTATTTCAGTCTGTTCTGTTATTATTTTTATCTCGTCATGTTAGTAAAGTATGAGAACTTGCACCAACGTAAAATTGTATCAAACTCCATAAGTTGATAGTGTGTCTGTTGGTTGGATAGATATCAATACATGAAATATCGACATATGAACTTCTAGTAATGTTTGTTTTAAATGACATCTATGGATTAGTTTATGCGTTTACCACAAATATATATATACATATACACATATACACACACACATACCTCAATCATTTTGACAAATTGTGGAAATAACGGTGAACCGGATATTGCAATCACTGGTACAATAGGAAAATTCTCTGGAATATTTTGTGTAGTCAATGCTATTGGTGGTGCAGGAGGAAGTGGCGGAGATGATGGCGGATCAGATTCATTTGGATCTGATGAAGATAAACTATCATTACCACTGTCATCATCTGGTGAACCTTTGTTTGATGATGAACTTGACAAGGTGTTTTTTGGTATAAATTGAATCTACAAATTGTTTTTTTTTTCAAAATTTTCTTTTATTAAAGTAATGCAAAACAATCTTTAAAACAAATATCATGCAAGATAAATAATTTCAATATGAAACAATGAACAATGAACATAGAAATACATACATTATGTGTGTATTGACTGAACGAAATGAAACGCAAAAACATTTCTAGATATGTGTTAGTTTCTATCACTTTTTTTTATTGTTGACAGGCATATAAACATCTTGATTGTAAGAGATATCGAGCAGGCACACGAAATAAAATTAACATTTTTAGTAGTCATTGTCATAAGTTTATGATCTTTTGATAGACACGTAATAAGTGATCAAAGACACAGTGTATTAAAACCTAGTTAGACTTCATTTTCTCAATCCAATACATTTGGATGAGACTATGAACATTATCGGCACAAACTTCAGATAGAAGTGAAGTATTCAAATTTGTCCATATATGACTTGTAGCTTGTTCTGTGAACCTCGATTTTGATTGGTTTAAGGTCAATGACAGCCAATCAGGACGGAGGTTAACCAGAACAAGCTACAAGTCATGCATGGAGAAATTCGAATACTTCACTCCTATTTGAAGTTTGCGCTGATTTTGTTGTGTTCAGAAGTAACCAATCAGAGCTTCACAACCAAAATATCCAACTCAGAGAAAGAAACTCCATCAAAATCATCCCCTTGAGCTACAAATTTTCCCCCATCATCTCAGTTAATAGATTATCCGACTAAAGATGAGGGCAGTACTTCAACAATAAACTAAGCATAAAAAGATTTCTGGCTAAAATTATATAATGAATACTTGTGATTACTTTTAGGCTTCATTTTAGTCACTGAGTAAAAAATATAAGACGAAGGCTGAAACAAACCTTCATTGTACATGTAAATCGGAAGCACTTTATTTATATATTTTAATCAGTGTAACAGCGAGTTCATCATACAATAATCAAAGGCATTTTATGCAATAGTAAATAATTATGAGCTACTATCGGGTATATTTCATTAAAAGTTAACGAGAATACAATTATGTAAACCTTTATGATCTGTAGACAGTCAGTCAGTCAGTTACAACGTAGAAATTCGTACGTACGTACATCAGTTCAGGTTGCCATACCGCATTAGCACAGAGACGCAATTGTCAGTTCAAATCCAATAGTGGAGATAGTAGAAGTATTAGCAGTAATGGAGAAGATTAGGGAGCGAAGATATGATTCGAGAAGTATAATTCAGTGAGAAAAATTTAGAAACAGAAAGATAGAGATGGTGAGGAATTCAGAAGGTTAGAATTTGAAACAACACAAAGAGTGGGCGCACATGCGCCACTGCAAGCGATTTCGAGCCATATTGTTCAAGGTCTCAAACCATTGGTGACTTTCATCTTGCGGACACCAACCAGGTAGCCTACATCTATCAATATGACTCAGTTCAATTGTCAGTGACTTGATGAATTTGTGCCATGTTTTGTTCTGGCCGCCCCTAGCTTTCTTCCAACCTACTCACTCTTAAACCACATCTGTTTACTGGTGCACTTGTACTTTTGAGATGGAAAAATGTGGACACGAATAAAGTGACTCACTTTTACTTAGCTTTTTCTACTTTAAGTTGTTTGCATTATTCTTAAGATATTGTTATTAACGGGTTAGTCTATGATAAAACTTCAAAGGTTTTAAAAGACGCATAACTGTAACACGATGAATTATCACAGCTGGATTAATAAAACCGTCATCAAGTTAAGTTATCAAATCTACATCTATTTTTATCCATGACGTGAAATGACTACAACAAAATATAAATATTGTGTGCAGTATTTTCAATCTAAACACTGAAAATGGAGTTTGTTCTAAAATGTGAACTATAAAGCTTCAGCATTACTTTTGAAGTTGCATTAACAACTACCATTTACATTTTTGTCTTAGTGAACTTTGGTGTTCTAATACGAAAAATGTTAAAAATAGTCTACTGGTCACCTTAAGGAAAATCACATGTATTGCAAATCAATAAACGACTTGATCAGCCTAAAGGAAATAGACGAAGCGGTGTTCCAAACTGAAGCATACTGATTGGAAGTTGCAAGAAGAATTGTTTCATCGCTATAAACGATTCAATTTTTGCTAGAATTATAAATTTTACGAGGTATTCATTCAAAAGAATAATGTACTATCTATAGCAGACATCTAACAATATGAAATAAATTAAGATCTTACCTGAGATGATGGGAATCTTAACTTTGGTTCGGCTAAAAACTGACGGCGCTGGCCTTGGAGGTAGGCAATACAAGATGCACATGTAAACTTTGAATCCTGAATATAGGAAACTTTTCCAAGTTTAAGAGCCCGTAAGCCATTCGCATAGCATTTTCTTAACATTCCCTTTCAAGTTAACTAATTGAATGCTTAGACGAGTAATATTGGTCCTCTAAAAGAGTTAATCTGTAAAGTAAAAAAGTAAAGAGAATTCAATTTTAGGAACTAGATCTATGGTTTGGAAAAACTCATTCAGGTGAAGTCAACTAACAGACAATTAACGTATATCTATGATTCTTCCAAACAAATATATGACATCTGTAGTCATTGGGTTCGATTCGGTAATCAAATAAAATGTACATATGGTAATTGAAATTTGAGTTGTTTTCAACCAGTTTGTTTTATTTCATATATTCTGATGTTAGATAGTTAGATGCAATTATACAAAAACCCTGAATGCTTGACGTTACGAGATACCTTGAACTTTAGGTAGACAGAGTCCCTGTGGCATTCGAAACTGTTTTGTCCAGGTTTGAGTGCAGACCTTACGACTAAGTTACGCTGGTAGTGTTGACTGAACTCAGCAAACTAAGTTGAGTTTCAGCTAATCAGTAATTCAACATATTCAGCCAGTGATATTTATAAGGATGATAGTGATAAAGACCCACATAATTACGCTATTGATAAACTCTCAGTGGAACCTATGCTCTCGCGAAGGACGGTTTAGCATCGTAAGCCCCAGTTATTAACAAAACTGACGAATTACACCACAGACTATCATTATCGTTTGAAGTGTCTTGAAAAAACCATAAGCTGGTTTATACCACAGACACGAAAATTATGACTTCAAAATAGATCGATAGATGTTTGTAATTTGATAATCGACTTGCATAAAACATAATCTAAAATACTGCTTCTAAGAATTCGATGTATACGTACGTAGTCATGATACTTTTTAGTTTTAGGTAATGCTTAAGTGATACTAAACGTCAGTACGAAACCACTGTATGGCTAGGCATAAACTAAAATTATAACATCATATACAAATCTAGTCTTATCGGTGTTGGAACGTTGAATGCGATTCCAAGTACTGATGAGTGACTGATGAATCTGAATAATTCTTTCTCACATTATGGCAGTTACAGGGTAATCTCAAGCTAAAAAGCTATATCTATGAATGTTTTTCAATCGTATATCTTTTTCGCACCTAAAATGGCTAGGTATTTTTGTGGTAAGATATACAGAGAAAAAGGCACCATCAACTAAACTACAGTCCACATTCTGAACATCGGACTGTTGGAACTAACCACTAGAATTAATTTAAATTACTTTGATACACAGAAAAAAATCCATGTTTACAGAATGAGATTTTTGTAGAGAAAAGTAGGAACTGACAGAAATGTCGTTTGAATAGTAAGTGGTGGCTATCAACAGCTATTGGTGCACTCAATTTGAAGAAAAATGATATGAAATGAGAGTTGTATACTTAAATTTGGGATACGGTTTTAACAGTTATTTTGACGGGAGAATAAGTAGTTCTTTGTACTATAAAGTGAATAGCATTTCAAAAAAACGTAATGCATGAACCGACCTTGCAGATACAAACCAACCGCTTTTGGAGTTAAATGTTCAATGTTCGACCTCCGTTGTTGTTGTGAGGAGTTTGTACGAATTGACTGAATCTGTAAGCTCGTTTCTTTTTTATGTATTTTCAGGTTTACGGAACTGTTCAGTGGATCTTAGCCTAACTACTTTGACGAAGTAGTTCTACTCATTTTGTTAATTTTATGTTTAAACATTTTGCAGTCTGTGCGAATTGGTTTGTTTAATGGTGGGAGGATTTCTGGACTCAAAAGCTAGCAGAGAAACTGAAATAATTGACGGGTAAACGGAGATCTCACAATCCAAGATCTTTTTTAGAGATTACAGTCTAACCAGTCGAATTCACTTATGCTAGCAGGTTGGCAGATATTTATGAATTTGTATGTGTCTTCATCTAAATGAGTACTCTTATTGAGAAAATGTGTTTGCAAGCCCTAATACTCGCAGTTCGATGTGTAGTTTTTCAATAACTACGTTGAGGAACATGATGATGCTTCGGTATATTGCTTATGTCCGGATGATTTGGCATTCTTAACACGGTGTAAGCCAGTATCAGATCATTTCTGATGTTCCGATACTTCAGAGAGAATGATCCAAAGTGATGAAATCTATCTTCATATGGTTCGTCCCTAAACCCTCCCACACATTTTGTTTCTCGCCTCTGTATTCGATCCAGGAGACTTATATCTCTCTTAAGGAGAGGGCTTGCGACGACATTGTTAACCTCAAGGTGTTGGTGCTCATACGTCCTAAAGAATGTTAATAATCCTGTGGTGTTGGTACCGAGTTGTATTCGCATAAAGTGATGAGTTTTGTTAGCTTTAGCCACGTTCACCATGTAGTTCATACTGGTGTCAAAGTTTCCCTTGGTTGTAAAACTGAGATCTCATTCTGAGAAGACTTAAGGGAGAGGACTTCCGCCGGGGATGTAAGTTGTTTGCTTCACGTTGGGAAGAATGTTCATAACATGGCGTTTCAACTTGTGTAGTTTTAAACCATTTTTCACTACCTATTCCTCAATTTATGTAAGGATCTTTTGAAGCTCATTTGAATTCCCTTCGCTTGTTATGAACCTCCAGATCATCGCTTCGTCTGCTGAGCTCACTTTGTCTAACTGATCAGTTATGTATATCAGGAAGAAGGGTGTACCCAAAATGGTTCCCAATGAAACCCCTCTCAATTTACCTTGGTGCAAAACATTCTATGCTCAAGGAAGTCTCTGAGTCAAGACGAAGGTGGGTCTGTGAAGCCCATTTTCTCAACCTTCGCAAATGGGAGTGCATGGGGTGCAAAGTTAATAAATTTTATGTGAACCGGTATTTTTCGGTTGTCGAGCTTTCCCATGCTATGGGAAGACTGAATGCACAACATCGTGATTTCCGGAACCCGAGTTGAGGTTCACGGAGGACTTTGTTTCTATCCATGTACTCCCTCATTTGCTCATTCACTAGCACTTCCCGTGCCTTCGATATTATTGGTAGTAATGAGACCAGTCAGTAACAGGATGAATGCTTCTCATCTTCTATTTGAAGATCAGAGAGAGTAGCTTACTTCCATTCTGTTGAGAGTTTGTGTGACTCCAATGAATGCCTGAACAGGTCGCATAACGGCCAACTTAGTTCTTCCACATAATGTTTCAAGACTGTAGGGCGAATATTATCAGATCCTGGTGACTTTCCTGGGCGCAAGTATTTTATTTTTCTCAACACTAAGTCAGTGAAGCCGAGTTTTCCCTATGCCATCAGCTGGTACTAGATTTGAGAAGTTCTCTTAGCGTGTACGTACTTGGCTTAACTGATCGGTGAAGTTGGTGTCAAAGCTCACAGCCAGCACCAGAGTGCAGACACCTTGGTTCGTAGATTTTCCTTTTGCCATGGACCCGAACAAATCCTCAGGGTTTGCCTGTATTTTGGCAGTCAGCTACTTCTTGAAGTATCTCCTATTACTTCAACCCTTGGCACTGCATATTTTTCTAAAAGTCTAATAAGAAATACGGTCGGGATCCTTCAGAGACACTTACCACATGTACCGGGCTCTCCTTTTAGCCTGTAACAAGCGTTCACTGCCTCGATTAACCCGAGATCTTCTGTTTCTCGGTGTGATGTGCGTGAGGTCCTTTGTGTAGGACATCATTTTGGATGAGGACTCTCACTGTTTGCCGGTGGTCATCTGTTAGGTTCTATTGTTCTCCTTTCCATGGGGCATACAGAAAATGCTCTCGCATGAGCGTGTGAACGTAGAACTCGCCGTCACCCTTTATGAATGGATCATGGCTACTATTTCTCTTAGGTGTGCACACAAGGTCATCCTTGAATAGGAGCTGATCATTTGTTGCCAAATAATCCAAGTCTGATGACTTTACATCCTTACTCCATACTTATCCAGTCCATAACCTTTGACAACAGTGATAAGTCGCTTTTGAAACCATCCTATGGGGTATTTCGAGACAGAATTTTGAAATCTCCAGCTAGGAGTGTTTAGTCGAGACTAAGGGGTTGCAGTTGCAGTATTGTCTCAGTCAGCTTATCTTTCTGGGCCTAAGCACTTGGGAGGTGCCGGCAACTTCTTCAAGCCAACTATTTTGTGCCATTCTTGTTGAAATAACACCAGCACGATTCTATCACATTGGTTACGTCGGCGACGTATAGTCTTTCAGCTGTGAAATGCCCGTTAATATATATAGCCACTCCGCCTCCTGTCTGGTGTGCCTATTCGCGTCGGAAGTTTCACGATTGCTACCTCACTTCATCGTCTGCTGTGTTGGGGGATAGCCATGTGTCAGTTGGGATTATAATCTTCGGATCCATCTGAGAGCACTATTCCAGACTTATAACAGGTTACCCGTTAGTGTAGTGCATTCGATCGGCGAGACTATGATGTCGTGGTATGTCAATCGAGGTTAACTGTCGTTGGTATGCGCATGGTTTGGCCTATGGTAGCCATCATCACTGTTGCACGTCATATGCCTTAGCTTCGTCCATCTTACCACTAATGAGCTCGAGCACGCAGTGAAATACCATACTGGCCTGCTCTTTGTTGTCTGTTGATGCCTCTTCAGCTCATCGTACTGACAAACTTCTTGCGTGCCCAACTAGTGTTGGGAGAACAATTTAACCAAGGGCCTCTGAGATCTTCGAATAATTCTTTCGGCGACTTGTTCCAAGTGTAAGTTTACTCCCAAAGGAGGAGGTTTCCTGTTGCGATTGTTCTGGCCCTTGAACAGACGACATTTGGTCGGGGTACTGCTCATTCTGTAGAATTTATTTCGCCGGCGGCTGTCCTAATCGCGTCCAATAGAAACACACCGGTACGATTCTCCTAGATCCCCGTCCCAGCCAAATCAGAAAGCCGAAATTCTAGGAGAAAACCGTCTCTATTGTTATAAAAAATGGAAATACAGAGACTTACGATGTTTATGTTTCTTCCAGGACTAAATTACTCCGTAGAGTATCTATTACAATAGCTAGTAAGTGACACTAAGTTCAC